AAGTAGGTGTTACATTGTACAGTGGCATAATGCGCTCCTCTGCCTACCCTTTCGGGGATAAAAGGCGTGATGTTATGTTATGTTCTTTATTATTGTAACTAAGTTCCCTAGGTAATTAAAGAGAAGACGTTAGTACAAGTCTTATGTCGGAATACTTAAGTATAGTTCTGTCACTAAAAATTATTTTTGAAATGTAAGAGATGGCATGATATTTAAGCATGATACTTAAAATTGAGTAACGTTTCAGTATTCCGGCATTAATGTTATACTTTTCTATACTATCATATAAAACTGTAGAGTTTGTTCGTTTGAACGCGCTAATCTCAGAAACTAATGGCCCTTGAAAATTCTTGTTGTATTGGATTGTCCATTTCTCGAAGAAGGTTATAGGCTATAAAATATCACGCTACGATCTATAGGTGCCGAGCAGAGCGGGAGAAACCGCGCGGAAGAAGTAACAGGTGATACAACTTTTATATCTTTACTTGTTATCTTCCGAAGACAAGCAAAATGTTGGACATACTCATTATTATATGTTAGATAATGTCTATTACAAATATTTCCTATTCCTCACAAATGTACATTGATTACAAATCGAGAGGGCTTCGGTTGAATGTGAGATTTCTATCACAACATTAAAAGAAATTCTATCAATAAAAACTTAAATGTTAACCACAGAGATACTTAAATATCTCCAAAACATCGTTCTAAGTATCAAATATTACTTATGAGAATGAAAATGAAGTAATCAGGTACATCCCAAAACCATAAAACCCAACAACTTATAATAGCCATTAACTCGTCGAGTACCGGTTTTATAGACACAATTAAAGAACAATAGGTCGCGGTCACCGGTGACCGCTTGGTGTTTGACAGTTTAACCAAACACACAGGTCACATGATTCAAACAAAATTATCCAAACATTACAACAAAACGTAAACATAATAAGTGCATAGGTATATTTAATTATGTAAACAGAAGTTAAATTATCATAAAAACATAATACACCGACAAAATAAAACACAAAGTTTGAAGTCAAAGATGGCCTTTGCCACCTGTTATCGGCAAAGCAATTATAAATAATCGGAAGTTCGGAACTAACTGGATTCACTTCAAATGTCGGCTTGATAATATCAACTATTAGAGACTAATGTAATTTTAATTAGGAAACTAATTACAATATTGCGGAATATTAACGTTTTGAAGGTTAATTTTTGCTTTTAATATAATTTGATAGTTTGGCTCTAAATCTCTGATATTTGCCGCCGGGAAAGTTACACGTGGCATTCTTCTGTATATTTCCACTTCTAATAGGAAAATGTCTAACAAGGACAAGTGAAAACAAATCCGAAAAGAAATTGTCCTAAAACACTACCCTGAGGCATTCCCGGGTTCAAGGTTCTACTTAAGGTAAAATTCTCGTAGCCTCCCAAATTGTCATTTGGTTTAGCTTAGGTTTATTTATACGTTACCTCATTTGTCAAAAAAAAGTATTTTAATAACACATGAGCCAGAGAAAAATGCATCCATAATTGTTAAAAATAAAAAGTTTAAATTATCAAAGGCTCTATAAAAATCAACACAGCATAACCGACAGAAATAAATGCAATATATTGAATTTAATTAATTCTGATATCATCTCTACTTTCAAATCAATTAAAAAGTTAAATGTCCTCCACATTATAGAGGTCATTACGAAGTATAATCTATGTTACATCTGTATGTACTTTACTATCTCCGTCGTTAAAAGTAATTCCCGGAGTCGGATGACCTGCGCAGACAGGACGTAGTTATAGCACGTAGGCTGCAATTTCCTTGATGATCCAATTCATTGCTGGATCGCTTACTACATACACATACTCTAACCACTATAAATAATAACCACGACAGTCAACAGCGCTTTATAAACGTTTGAAGCTCTCGTCATCATACTTTCCTTAATTTTCTCATGTTGGAGATCATGTTCCGTGATAGGAGATCACGGAACATGATCTCCAAATCTTAGATTATACATTCTAACTTAAAATTCACGTCACGTGTGTGTGTCTTAAATGCGTTAGGCTCATGAATATGGAAACATCGACTGTAATAGCATTAGGTAGTTTTCTTTTTTTTCTTGAATGTCAACCGTGTCCCCTACACAGTGTTGTCGACTATACTGCCAGTGTCGAGGTAGTTTTCTTTCAGAGACGAATAGGGTAGACGACTAATTTTTATTTTAATGTCCGTCTGGTAGATTATTTAAAAACATTAGACACGTATTTTTTATTTTCTTATGGAAACGAATAGTTTCGAAGATATATTGATTTGAAATGTCGCGTGACGTCACTTCTCAGTACATTTTATACTGAGAAATGACGTTTTAGCCCCCACTCCTAAACTTTGATTCGTTTTATCTAAGTATTGTTTTATTATACGACAAAATAAATACGACAAATACGTGTCTAATATTTTTTAATTACCTAACTTACGGACTAATTAGATTTTTAATTTTCATACCCTGTCATCATCCCCATTGTATTTAAATTGATGTCAAATCGTACCAACATTTATAATGAAATGAAATGATATTTATTTCTGCAAATAGGTTACACAGTACCACTTCTACACGTCAGTCTTTAAATTACTAGATGAGGGCTGGCTTTTTCTTACTGACTACTCTGAGAAGAAACTATCTAACTTCGATACAAATAACTTCAGTACAAAAAGTAGGTACCTATTATGTATGGGTATTGTTTGTCTTGCAGGAAACAGTAAGTAAAAACGTGTAGGTTGCATATAATAACCACAACAAATAAACAAAAGGTTTAGGTATTTTACGCCACAAGTTTATGCTTGATTTTGTTATGAAAATCATTCATAAAACTATAGCTGGGATAACCATTTGTAACGCAACTCAATCAATTTACGATGCTCAGTTTTATTAAACCAATATTGACAATACAGGCTGCTATTTTTTAATCAACAAATAGATAAATTGATGACACAGTAAGGTTTCAATTAATCGAATGTTGGTATTTCCGTTAATCGTTAAAATGGGGATAGTCTTGACACGTGCCATCGCGTGACACAAGTTCATGAACAAATATTTACCCTGAAGTCTCTGAGGTGGGCTGTCAGCTGTCAAATGCTATAAAAACATGTCCAAATTATTGTTTTTGTTATTAGAAGGATCAACATTAGTTAACTAAATGTTTACTTAAATCATAAGCGCTCTTTCTTCACATTTTGTCTTTATATTTTTCACTGTAAAAATAGAGAATAAATTAGCTAAGAATAAATTCATAACATTTGTTTTTAAAATTCAAATCACCTGCAACTAGTGTTTGCGCTTATGAGCAGAGAAGTAAAATGTGTGGTAGTACTTACATGCCCTGTCGATAGAATCGTGGATTCTTATCTATACATAATAGATAGCTATCAAACCGTCTTAGAACAAAAATAGCAATACATGACATATTTACTGATACACAATAAGATACATGTTATAGATAGAAACAAGAAACACCAATCGTGCCATCTTCTTCTTCTAGATATGTAGATAGTTAGTTACCTTTACATATGCATATTAGGTAGGTATATACAGCTTACATGATAAAACCCAAAAATCAAAACAGAACTGTCTATGGCATGAGGACCCTATATGTTAGGGAGACCAAAATATGGAGTGAACATACGATTCCCTAATGTAACTATCATCGCTTACTAAGCCCCTATTTCCTTTCGGTGCCAATTTTCTTGTCGAATGGAAAATTCTTATGGATTTTCTTCATCCCTGGACTTGGCTAAAAGGATCAGGAGACCATCCGATTGTTACTGGCTAGAAACCACCCTCTAATCCACCAATCTCATTAACCATACTACAAAAAGCAGCGTCTAATTACTGAGTCGGAATGTTCATTGAATTCCCATCGTATTATTAGTTCATGTACTTAGTACAGTCTACTGAGTGACGAGTCGAATTTGACACAATGTCAAGGGCATGCAATGACGTAGCTGAACCAAATTAGCGCACTCCACCCACCAAGCATCGTTCGCTTTCATTCAAAGACTAGTGACAGGTGACGTCACAAATGTATTGGTAAACAATTGCCCGCCAATTTTGCACGTTAGCAGTTTTAGCGCGTAAATTAGATTTGCTACGCTCTCTATCTATAGATAAAAAAAAGAAGCTATTCACTAATGCGATATAAATGCTACTGGAAAAGTAACTCCTAATAACTTGAGTGTACCATTAAACTAAGTAGGTATCTTCCATACCAACCTAGGAACTAGATTTTCTTAGCGGTACCGAGTATAACCAGATTCGATTTATCTGAAAGGGGTCGGGTCGTATAAGATAAAAAGGTCAAATAGGTTTTTATACCTAGTATATTTGCATGTTCTGACTGCTTCGTTGGCCGAGTGGTCGCAAGTGCGACTGGCGGGCAAGGGGTCTCGGGTTCGATTTCCGGGTCGGGCAAAGTACTAGCGGATTTTAAAATAAATCTCATTAGTAGCACAGAGTCTGGAATTGTGCTCGATTTATGGCAATAGGCTCACCCCCTAGACTCATACGACAGGTGCGCATTAAGTGCTTTTCTACTTTACATTTGCCACCCTATAATAACACAATTCAACACAATTTGTTTCCGGTTCCGGTGCTCAAAACGTAAACATTGTTGAAGTGCAGCTTTCCAAGTTATTGTGATTAAAAATTATTTACGAACTGTTGGACACAGTAAATAGTGAAAGACACAATTATAATTTGCAGTGGATTTGTGTAACTATTAACTCGGGTGTAATTAACGTGAATGTGAAATAAAATCACGAATTTAAAAACCAATGATCACCGAATTGAGGTTAGAAATTGATTGTGACATTAGTAGGCTTAGTCAACTGTCAAGTCAATTTGACGGCGCGACGGTATCATTCATTCTTTCCGTCAGTGTTACCAATATAAAAAAGAGAAAAAATAATAGTTTCTAACACTGCGATTCATTTTACGCAAAACCAAAATATGGAAGATCAATTCGAATTATTGTTTGAGAAAATGAAACTAGAAATGCAGAAACAGACAGCAGAACTGAAAGATTCTATAACTAATTCAATCATGGAGAAAATAGAGGAAAAGATAAAGCCTATTATAGCGGAAAATAAGGATTTAAAGGAAAAAATAATAACCTTCAAGAAAGAGATAGAATATTTGAAAAGAGATAGGAAGGAAAACAACATTATTATTTTTGGACTACAAGAGAAAGAAGGATCTACGCCAGAATTAATAAACGTGGTGAAGAACATATTCTTTAAAGACTTAAATATAAATATTGGGGAGTTCGAAATAAATAAAATTTTTCGCATTGGAAGGAAAAGTCCAGGAGGAAAACCTAGACCTGTTTTGCTTTCCTTTGTCAATTCATGGAAGAAAAATGAGATTATGAAAGTTCGGAAAAATCTGAAAGATATATATATTACAGAAGATTATTCTAAAGAAGTATTAGAGAGGAGAAAGATTTTACAAAATAAATTGAAAGAGGAAAGGATGAAAGGGAATTTCGCATATCTCAGCTACGACAAGCTTGTAGTAAAAGAAAATAATACAAATATCGAAAAAAGAAAAAGAGGAAAATCGTCTTCACCGCAAGATAACACACAAACTAAAAAACAGCAAGTGTGGACACCATCACATACAAATAGGCGCAACGCCTTTGATGTCATGAGAGGTAGATCTAATTCTCTCTCACTCTCGTCCCCCAAGGCGGATAATAGGCAATAACAATTAGCTAACGGCAACCGGGAAACAATACAACATAAAATTATAGATAACCAAAGCAAAACTAGAAACTACCAACCTCCCCCAAGCCGACTGGTCCTCGTGGGGGAAAATGACCACGACCCTCTTAAGATAAAAAGCAACTGGAAAAAGAAGCATAATGCTCTATATATTGCAACTTTAAACTGTCGATCATTGGGAACTAGTGAAAAACTACAGGAATTACAATTGGCATTGGATGAAATAAAATGGGACATAGTAGGTCTTAGCGAAGTGAGAAGATTAGGGGAAAGAATTGAAGATCGTGGTCAATACATTCTATACCATATTGGGGAGACGCCCGGATTATACGGAGTTGGTTTCATGATCAAAAGAAACCTCGCCAAGAACATACAGGAATTAAGAGGGATTTCAGAACGGATTGCATTTCTCGACATTCAACTTCCTGTAGATGGAGAAGAAGAACAAATATGGACCATAGTCCAGGCGTATTCGCCCACTGAATCAAATAGAAGAGAAGATATAACAAAAATCGAAAAATTCTATGAAGACCTACAATCCGCTGCTACAAATGCTTCAAAAAACCTAATAGTTATGGGAGACTTTAATGGACAAATCGGTAAACAAAAAAGTGGAGAAGAATATACCATAGGAAATCACGGATGGGGCAATAGAAGTAAAAACGGCTCACGATTGGTATCATTTGCTATTGAAAACAAATTAAGTATCATAAACAGTTATTATAAAAAGAAAATATCAAGGAAATGGACATGGATATCTCCCAATGGTCGGTATAAAAACGAGATCGACTATATTATGTCCAACAACTTAAAAGTATTTGAAGACCTGTCTATTTTAAGCAATTTAAATTTTAACACAGATCATAGAATGGTTCGAGCAAAACTCTCAGGGACACGTGTTAAAAGACCAAGACAATTTCACAACAGTATGAAAGGCATCGAATGCACCGGTAACATCGATTTACTTATAAATAACCTCGGAACATCCTTGCAAGGAAAGGAACAACAATGTATGTCGACCCATAGAGCAACACGGAGGGGAGTAGCCATTGCGATAAAAACCGATACAAAACTGTCTGTCATTTTTTGCGGGGGGAAATCACACATTCTCAAATTCTCACACAAAAACATTCTATGTCACTACGAAACTCACACTATGACAATTGAAAAATACACTGACAATTTCACACACACATTTAAACAATCCCTGTCGTAATAGTGTAATAATATGACGCAACTACACTTACACCCGCAGTTGTAACAATTATCGATACGCATTATCGATAAATTCAAGAACTCTGTTAAGGAAATTAGCTTTAAAAAATTATTCAAAGACAGATATTATTATTGACTTTAATTATTATACCATTTTTTTTACCTAATTAATTATTATACCCCTAACTACCTACCACTACAATAATCAGACAAGATAATAATAACAAATAAAATTTTCATTTTTTTAAATAAATTAAATTACTAATCCCATTTAAAAACCAGCGATGAAATACTGATACGGAACTATGACTGGTTTTTAAAATAGATTAATTTTCTTTAGATATGACGAATACATTTTTGGGGGTTTGTTTTTTTCAATAAGTTAGAAATTATTGTATCAGTATATTTTTGCATTAATAATTTTGCTAATACATCTTGATTTGAGCAAATGGCAATATTTCTTGTGGGAATCCAGGTTGGTCTGTTATGACAAAATGTCTTACATATATCTCTTAAATTTGGATCTTTAGGAAATCTGCAATAAATAAATAAAATAATAATAATAATAAATATAGTTGAAGTTCTCACTCAGTATTTTTTATTTAAATCAGAAAACTTAATCCCAAAAAATCTCACATTTGACTTCACCTTTTACATTTTTATCGATAACTATCTATAAGCAAACCGGCAACAACGCTATCGCTCGGCGACAGCGAATTCTAGGAAAAAAACTCGGATCTGTCGCTCGACCGATCTGCGTTTTGTATGAGTACGCACGGATTTGTTGGTAAACAAATCCGAAACAAGACGATTGATAATATTGTAGTTTTTTTAAGTTTATAAGAAGTAAATAGCAATAATATGATTAAAAATTACTTAATATGAAAGGTAACACCATGTTTTTGTAAATTTGACGTGGCAGATCTCTTTTTGCAGCAAAAAACAGAACAATTCGGCATTTTTACGACGCCGTCGATTCACTAACGCAACTAGATTTAGTCTGGTGAGCAGTTGAGTTGCAACTAGTTTTATTGTACGCATAGGACCATTTGGACTTATACTTTGACAGAGGGGAACGCCTGCGTATGGCTACTCCCCTCCGGTCCGCCGGTGGCCCGTGTTGCTCTATGATGTCGACCCAAGAAAAATATACCCATTTGCTCAAACAACTGAAAATAGAAACTAAAAAAGTAAACATGACTAGTACGACAGCGATATCATTTAAAAGTAAGCAATTATTACAAGAACGGAAAAAACTTATACAACAAGGAAAACATAGCAAAATTAATAACATCCAAAAGATAGCAGAATTAAGCAAACGGATTAGCGAACAACTTAGAAAAGAACGGAAAGCAAGAAGGTTTGAAACACTAAAGAAGCATATAAATAAAACAGGGGGAATAAAGAAGGCGCTAAAAGAAATGAGTTACAAAAAGGACTGGATTCCAAATATGAAAAATAAAAACAGGGAAAAGACGAGCAAAAGGCCGGAAATACTAGAAATTGCTACAGAATACTACAAAAATTTATACCAAAGTCGTAAAGGTGATCAAGTAATTAAAAAATACAATTCAGCAGATACAGACGAGATAAACACAATACTAACAGAGGAAACAATAAAATCAATTGAATCACAAAAACTAGATAAAGCACCTGGATCAGATCTAGTCACTAATGAATTATTGAAAACAACGTCACCAGTGATAGCACCAAGACTGACAGATCTGTTTAATGAAATCTTAGAAAAGGAAACCATCCCAGAAGACTGGACCAAATCGACAATCATACTGCTGCATAAGAAAGGAGACAAGAATGATATAGCAAACTACAGACCGATCAGTTTAATGTCCAATATTTATAAAATATTTTCTAAAATCATTCTACAAAGAATCACTAATATATTAGACGAAAACCAACCTAAGGAACAAGCTGGTTTCCGTAGTAAGTTTTCAACTATAGATCACATACACACTCTAAGACAGATAATACAGAAATATGGAGAGTATAATAAAACGTATTACATTGGATTTGTTGACTTTAATAAAGCATTCGATACATTAGAACACGAGTATATATGGGACGCTCTACAGAGGCAAGGAGTTCAAGCAAAATATATAAGAATAATTAAAAACGTTTATACAGCAAGCACTGCACAAGTAAAACTTGAATCTACGGGAAACCAGTTCCCTATTAAAAGAGGTGTGCGCCAAGGAGATCCTATATCACCTAAATTATTTTCGGCAGTGTTAGAGATGATCTTTAGAAACCTAAATTGGACCAAAAAGGGCCTCAATATAAATGGCGAAAATCTCAACCATCTACGCTTCGCCGATGATTTGGTTGTGTTCTCAGAGGACGCTGGAACGCTGGGACTAATGATGCAACAACTATCTGATGAAAGCGCCAAGGCCGGCTTGACAATGAACTTAACAAAAACTAAAATTATGACGAACGCTCAAGAAACAGTATACCACGAACAAATAACAGTAAATAACGAAGAAATAGAGTATGTAACGGAATATATATATTTGGGCCAACTGATATCTATAGAGGATTGCATGAAAAAAGAAATAGAACGAAGAATAACGAATACCTGGAAACGGTTTTGGTCACTTAAAGAAGTAATGAAAGATAAAGATATGCCAATGTCAGCAAAAAAGAAAGTGTATGAAATATGCATTATGCCATGTTTGCTATACGGGTGCCAAACATGGGCATTAACTGAACTACTAGAACAAAAATTAAAAGTGTGTCAAAATACAATAGAAAGGAGCATATTAGGTATAAAAAGAAGAGACAGAATAAAACTGCAAGAAATTAAAAAGAAAACTAAATTTAAAAATGTACACACGGTCTACAGACAGCTTAAGTGGCGTTGGACAGGACATATGCTTAGGGAAAATAGAGACAAATGGACTAAGCTAGTGACGGAATGGTATCCAAGGGACAGTAAAAGAAAAAGAGGTAGACAAACGAAAAGGTGGGAAGATGATATCAGGAAAATAGCTGGTCCAGTATGGACCCGTTTAGCTAGAGACAGAAATACATGGAAATCTTTAGAGGAGGCCTTTGTCGACAGACAAGCTGTTCCACAAAAACACCTAGTTGCCGATAGTTAAAAGCAAGTAATAAAAGTTTATTAGAAAGTAGGCATGTTAAAGAAAAATATGTAATATTTGATAAGAAACAGCAATAAAGGCTATTTTATTTATTTTATTATTTTAATAACACAATGAACCTGCACTGCCATCTATGAAAATCGTTTCGAACTAATGAGTTTCTAGATTTATTGTACCCACTTTTTACTACATTAGCAGTTAAAATAATACTACAGTACAAAAAAAAATTATCAATTCAATTGTATACTAGCCTGCATATCAGCTGCTGAAATCTTTTTATTTTTAAATTGGATGTTAAACTGGTTAAAAAGGTTAGGTTTGAATTCTATCATAAAACCCTCGTCTTTCCTAAGTTAGAAGATAGTACAAACAGGTACAGACTAACAGACCACCTATTCTATTTTTATTTATATATTTTTGCCAACAAAAATACCTGTGCAGTTGGAAAAAATGCTTAATTTGACATCATTTGTTAATAATTCATCTTCATTCCAATTTGTTGTGTTCCAGATATTCCTAACCAAATAATAGTTTCATGTACTTCTACTTGCAAATTATACTCGTGGATATCGCCCGTGACTTTCGTATTAAAAGCCGTTTGTGCACACTTAGCCCTTGTAAACATTACTAATCTAGCACTATCTAGTAAACTCCGGTTTTATTTAGATTATTCTTTAAAAACTCTTCGAACCCTTTTTAGGCATTCACCATTTTTATTTTGTGTACTGAAATGTGTAACTTGAGAGTTGAGTTGAACGATTTGTATATTATTCGTATTTGTCTAGACTGGTTTTTATCTCATACCTACTTTAATCATATTACCTAAATCAGACATTGCCTAGATATTAAGCCAGTCTAAACCTGTATCAGATTCAAGTCTAAACCAATTTTAGCGAATGGACAAGTCGGTTGTAGATACTAAACGGATTATGAATCAGCGCCTAGTCTAATATCTAAGCGGCGTGGATATCACAAATCCAATTTCGGGACTTATGGGCAGACAACTTTAATGTATATGTAATGGACACGCAACTATTATAACATATTATTATGATGACCATAACATAAATTGAATAATATTAACATAACCGCTGAAAGGTATAATGTTAATGTACGGCTCTCTGGGTTCTGCTTGAACAATAAATCTTATTATTTACAATCAACGACATCTATGAACTAGTAGCCGCAACCCTCACACAGCGCCTTTTTTCGTTTGACTTTAAGAAACAAACCGTACAAGTGCATTATTTTGTGGACTTAGGAACGATTAGTTATTATGTCGACGTGGAAAAATTATGAGCTGTTTGTTATCATGCAATTTATATAAAGGTTATCGTCGGGATGTCGTCAACTGACTTCATCAACACACGGCGTGATCTCTGACGCATTTCTCTTGCTAACAATATTATAGAGGTTATACCTATTTGCTGTAATCTTCAACAAGTTACTAATTAATATTAGTGGATCTATCTACTCAGTATCGAAAAATGTAATGATTTTTCATTTTCTTTTGCGATTATTTGATACATACATAAAATAAACTTGCCTGGGACTATCGGATTGATACTTGATATAATGATTTCCATAATAAAAACAACGTAGACACTAGAATGAAACCTTTTGTACATAATAAAAATGTAAAACAAAACTGTTTACACAAATAGAGCTGGCTGAAAAGGCTCTTGTCTATGTTTGATAAAACCACTGCCTGTGCTGTCATGTTTGTCAATCGATTTCAGTTTGACATTGACAGTTCACGGATTGCCGTCGTTGGGGCTGATTGGGTGTAAATTAATTTAATTTAATTTATTAATAAAAAACGTATTTACTCAATTGACTGCAGTAGCGAATTGACTCTCGTACTATGGACACGGAAGATAACCGCGCTGAGGGTTGGAAGTACCTCAACAAGCAGTACTTTGGTGATGGTTAGTGAAATTTCTTATTTTGCGAATTCCGTTGGTGAATTTAGCAGTAGCTTCCGTGCCGTCGTCACAAGGACGTATTTAATTCTTATGGCGACTAGTTCTAATCATCCAGTTCATTAGAACTTGTTATTTACTGAGTTTATTTGATTGAAACCTTTTGGGTACGTGGGGTATTCGTTAACCATTGAATTACACACAGTGATGAGTTATTATCAGTAAAATAAACATCATAATGGAATTAACGTGTCGGATAATGGTATCGCTAGGTGTGAAACTGTATTAGAAGAGTATAGAGCATTGTTTGGAAGTGTCACAGGTGTGAAAAAGCTAGAACTGTTGTACATTACACTCTTCAAAACATTTTGAAAATTCACAGTAACTATTATTTTATTTCACATAGATAAATATCAGAATTAAGCAAACTTTGTACTAATTTTAGCCTTGAATACAAGAGATATCTAAAAACAAAACTGTGTCTTATCATCATGAACTAAAGAAATCAACAGTACAATAAATCTTATGTTTTCTACCTGGATAAGAAACAGACAATCATACATTCTGCCTCTTGGGTAGTGATAAACAAATACTGGCAGCCTAGAAGGGATTATTTCTGTAATAATTGACTTTAGAACATGATTTTTTTTTCTATTTTATTTAATTTATGAAATTTTGTGTTTATTGTAATTCTATGTATCAGGACAATATCCTAATGCTTTGTCACATTTTTCTAAAATAGAATAAATCTAAATTTTAGCACTTCTTAGTAATATCTGAACAAGGTTAAATATTCTATACTCAATTCTATGACCAATGAGACTGGCTGGCCTTGCATTTTATTGATTTTGTGTGATTATAATTATGTGAAGTGAATCAATGAAGAACATGTTAGGTTTTTATACAGCCTTCATTTTATGCCTTAAATCAAAATCTGTATTATCCTATTAACATTATAAATGTCAAAGTTTATATCTTCGTTTCTTACTTCTTCACATCAAACCGGCTGAAGGGATCTGGATTAAATTTGGAACGGGGGTAGATTAAGGTTTTAAGCAATTCATTCCTATCATATATTGATCCCTTTTTAAAATTATAATCTACTGGGAATTGTGTACAGTCTGTTGAATATTAGATATTGTGGGATTAGGCAACAGCAATAAAGATTAATGTACAAAAATGTATTATCTATCCCTTATAATAAAGAAGAGAGTATAATATTGATTCCAATATGGCATAGACTATCAGGAATGTCATAAAACTAAGCATAAACAAGTAGTTATTTGAAGATAACCTCATGTTATAGAGTATCACGTGTTCACATGTAAACAGTTACTTACTGGCTGTATTAATAGATAACACGCATTTTGTGTAAATCATTCGTTAGATTGGAGAGTTTTATGACGAAAATAACATTAAATATTGCCTAAAGTAGACTATTTTGAGTACTAGTACTCCAGCTGATATTTTATTCACATTAATAATGAAAAAAAATTAATATATAAAGTTGACTGATGGCAAAATATTGGTCTATCTGCTACATAATTATTTTGTCTTCCAAATCTGTTCAACAATTTTGGTTGGTTAGGTCACATACATACACATACAAAATTGTGAGATGAGGATTTATGTTTCAAAAGTCATTGCAATGACTATTAAAAAAATTATAACATGAGTAGACAAATGTAATTTCTTTTGTAAAAGTTAAAAAGAAATCAATATACCTATCTAACTATAACACCTGTTGCTATGTCTTTATCCTATTTAAAGAAAACACTTCGAACTTATTACTTTGTAGTGTAATTTTTTGTTTCTAAATAAAAAAGAAAATTCATTTTATTATAAACTTGTTTAATAACACTATGCTCTGTCTTGTTTCAGGTGAACGCGCGAACTATGTGAACATACCGCATGTGATTGCGATGGTCGGCTTGCCGGCGCGCGGCAAAACCTACATCTCCAAGAAACTGTCCAGATACCTCAACTGGATAGGAATCAACACCAGGGGTAAGTTGCACATGTCAACCAGAAACACACAATTATGTAAACAAACATTCAGGAACACATAGATTGTCTTGAAACAAGAAAGCATCAATTTGCTGTCTGAACTACTTAACTGAAAAATGGTAGCTACCTCATCCACGTAAATACCTAAATATTTATTTCACAAATAGGTAATAAATTAACTAAAAATCGCGGGTTACTCACGTGAAAAGCTCTACTAGTTTCGAACTAAAGAGGGGTTTTTCCCCATGAGCAGCGTGTGCGGTCATTAATAATAAATATACTTCTCACAAAAAAAGTACAGTATGCACACAGGTTAATTCGTCGAAATTAAAGTTGAATAGGTCAGTTACGAACCGATTATCCATTGGTGCAGTCATGCGACGTCAAATGCGGCACTATACTGCGTTATAATATCCAATTGAAGGTCACACAAAATTATATGTAGATGCATGTGTTATGTCGTTAATAATGCACCTTTCTGTATTGATTTAGTGCCTACTGTATATCTTAGAACTAACTTAGTGCTAGCTAGATTGTGTTAATTGGAGTGAAAATATAATATTTCTTCGTACGCATAATCGCATTTTTTCCGTCCCCGTCGTGATTTTCGGTAAAAAGTAAAAAAAGTATTGGTTTAAAAGTATCCTATGTCGGTCTCCTGGCTCTAAGCTACCTCCCTACCAATTTGCAGCCAAATCTATTCTGCCGTTCTTTAGTTATAACTAACACGACTTTCTTTTATATATATAGATTTATGATACTTAACCAACAGTTATCAGATAAATATTTAAAAAAATCTAAGTCATACATATAAGTTTTTAAAATACAATGACTTATGTGTCTGTGTAATGCTTGCTAATGCGTCAACTAGAAAAATGGACTTATGTATAAAAATATAGATAAACAAATATGTCTACTTCTGGGAATAAAATTAATTATGGATATGGAATAATTTGTTTAACTAATCCTATGAAATAAATTCACATCGGAAGCTTTTAATGTAATTAATCACATTACGATATTAGAATAGGGTAGTTTCCAGAGTAAGAAAATTAACAATCTAGTTAGTCCGTCAGTTAGATAATGAAAAAATATTAGACACGTATTTTCTTACTTGTGTAAAGTTACAATATTTAGATAAAATGGAGTTAAGTTTAGGAGTGGGAGGTAGATACGTCACAACGTGCTACATTTTGTAGCACGCTGTGACGTCACACGACATTTCAAATCAATATATCGTCGAAAGCATTTAATTTAGTGAGAAAATATAAAATACGTGTCTAATGTTTTAAAATAATCTACGTCTGGTAGATTCTGACATTAAAATGAAATTTAGAAAACTACCATTCACCATTTTAATCTTAGGTACGTTTAATTAGAAACGTGCATTGGTAAATAGTACTGATGATATTAAATGAATAATAATGAATAGTATTAAATGATGTGTATTGTACTAAACTAAAGAATCTTACACGTGGCTTGGCTAGCAGGGAGTATACTGCCAAAATCTTAGTGGCGATATAAATACTGCATGCAGATGTAATAAACTATTTATTAAATAACTAGCTAGGCAGTAGTTCTATATGCATACTAGCGCCATTGTGGTAGGTACCTAATTGATGAAACACGCTCATTGATTATTATTAGCTCGTAGGTTATGCAAGGAGGACCTAGCTTTCTTAAGTATTGATTAGGTGACAAGATTTTTAGTACTTCATTTTTTTTCTTGTTTTTTATCAATGAATTGGTTGTTAGGCAGACATCAACACTCTTCAAAGATCACAAATCAGACAGGAGGATACAACGTTTCATTTTTTTTTGTACAATGCCTTGATCAAAAGTAGAAAGATTTCAGATCAGACAAAAATGTAATTAATCACTCAATTTTAATTGTTTTTTCTTTCCAGTATTCAACCTCGGTGAATACAGGCGGCATGCCACCACAGCGTACACTAGTCATGAGTTCTTCCGCGCAGACAACAAGGAAGCCATGGCGATACGGCAGCAGTGCGCGCTGGACGCCCTGCACGACGTCTGCGAGTGGCTCGTCAAAGGCGGCGAGGTCGCCGTAAGTACAAACTTGGAAGAAACTTTATAAGACCATATCATCCAACAGAGCCTAGGTTTTCATATTATTTGATGGGCATTTTGACCAGTTAATTAATATTGAATCATTGGAAATTAAACTCTATTCCAATATGAACAAATTCTATTGTCCCCAGGTGTTTGACGCGACAAACTCGACGTTGGACCGGCGGCGCATGATCCGCGACATCGTGGTGCACAAGATGGGCTTCAAGCTCTTCTTCGTGGAGTCCATATGTGACGACCCTAGGATTATCGAACAGAATATTATGGTGAGGTATACACATACGTACATTGATAGCAGCTTGCAAAGTAACTAAATGAGTGAATGTCAAAGTTACTTACGAGTGCTTTCATATTGTATTCAACTAACCAACACAATTATGTCAAACTTTAAACGATTTCTTTATTACTGTTTTTAAACCAATGATTGACAGATAACCCTTATGTGAGTTATTACTAATTATAATACCAATTTACTTGGTAGTAGAAATATATTAAATTGTATCCAATTCTAATTGTCACTTCTACCACATTCCAGGAGGTAAAAGTAAGCAGTCCTGACTACACGAACATACAGAACACAGACAATGTACTAAATGACTTCCTGCTCCGAATAGAGCATTACAAAGAGAAGTATGAGCCTCTAGACGAGAGCTTGGAGTCTGACTACAGCTACATGAAGATCTATGACACCGGGGAGAAGGTCGTAGTGCACAAACATGAAGGGCATATACAGAGCCGGATTGTGTACTATCTCATGAACATACATATTGTGCCACGGACTATTTATTTGACTAGGGTGAGTTGGATTTTGCAAGTTTCTGGTTACTTGTCTAATATTTAGTAGAATTAATCGTTAGACCATCCATCGCAAGCAATTTAAAATTAAATGTTTTCGTGGTATTGATTATGATTGGCATAAAACTTGAATGGGAATTACTTAACAGTATTTTATTGTAAGTTGTTAATACATATTTATTTTTTATATTAAATACAATAGTTGGCATTAAAATTTTATGTTCATTGTTGGTTTCGCTTTCAATATTATTCCCAATAACAAGCCAATAAAAAATCATAGCACGCTTAGCCTATTCTACAGCATTTCTTTTCAACATATCTTCACCAATTTTATTTAAAAGAACTATTATCATAATCTTGCAGCACGGTGAAAGCACACACAACATAGTGGGTCGTATCGGCGGCGACAGTGACCTCTCACCACGCGGCCGGCAGTATGCCAAGGCCCTCGCCAACTACATCGACCAGCAACAAATCCCCGGCCTCAGGGTCTGGACCTCGTGGATGAAGAGGGCCATACAGACTGTCAAGGATGTTAAGGCTCCACAAGAGAGGTGGAAGGCACTCAATGAGATTGATGCGGTAAGTTGCAGACAAAATAAATATAAGATCGATTTTGTTTATCTTTCTTTTGGTGTCATTCTATCCACATCTTGCAAGTTATTTTAATAGAGAGTAATAGTACGTAGTCTAAAGTCTAATGTCCGAATACTGAAACGCCACTCAAACTTAAAATTGAGTAACCTTTCAGTATTCAGGTCGACGTTGGTCAAGACTGCTGGCAGAACACTGACCTGCTAATGGTTAAGGATCCAAAGAAAAGTGTATTTTGGGTATTAAATCCATATTAATCTTAAACACCTGACCTCCAAATTCCAGGGTATATGCGAAGAGATGACGTACGCGGAGATTCAGCAGAAATACCCTTCGGACTTCAACGCTCGTGACGCGAACAAGTTTGCGTACAGATACCCTCGCGGCGAGAGCTATGAGGACCTGGTGGCGCGGCTGGAGCCCGTCATCATGGAGCTGGAGCGCCAGGGGAACGTACTTGTCGTCTCACACCAGGCCGTCATGCGATGTCTACTCGCCTACTTCCTCGATAAGTCCGCTGGTGAGTTTATTACTTTTAGGTGAAATTTTTTCGTAATTATTCAGAGAGTCTTGCAGTTTCTTTTATGTTCAGTCGCACTGTTACGCAATATTTATATTAAAATTAACTGCATCGTCTTGATGTCTTTGCTTGTCCACCACCTTTACACAATTTAAATGATTTAAGTACAAAATAGTTGTTCAAGTAAATTCGAATACAGTCACACAGAGCCTGAAAAAACATCACATTATTTACTTTATTCATTTAAAGCGAACCTTACAAACTCTATTAATATCTGTTATAACAATATATGACTTATATCATGAACGTTGTCTAATCCTAACAAACTACTTGTATTATTATTATAGAGGAGCTCCCGTACCTGCACGTGCCCCTGCACACAGTGATCAAGTTGACGCCGGTGGCGTACGGCTGTCGCGAGGAACACATCAAGCTCTCCGTGCCCGCCGTCGACACGCACCGCCCCAAACCTTCTGTGAGTATACCACCACCTTACTGTACCCTATCTATTTCAGTCTTTACATAGCCTATTTTTACCAGATAAGATTATTATCAGGAAAAGAGATAGAAGAAAGTGTCTCTTAGGTTTATAGATAAAATACACGTCGTTTAATACGGACTTATAAAGTCTAATAGTAAAATATGGAACTTCGAAATAAGTAAAAGTTCAACATCTGGGAAATGAAATTAATGACGGCTAAAAATAAATAAACAATATTTTATATTACACAGTTCTGTGTGTAGTTGGTAATTATCGAGCAAGTGCTGTAAAAACTATCTTTACAATGGCTTTTAGCAATTTATTTTACTTTACAGAAAGCGGCAATTTCTATTGCCAACACTTATGTATTATCAGGCTCTTAAATTGACAATAGTACCCGGAAATAATAATGTGGATTAAAATATTAAATCACAACTAACTTGACTTGAAGTTGACTTTAATAAGCTATGTACTTGAGTAAATATAACTATTGTATTCAAGAACAGCTTACGTGCTAAAACGAAGCAACCTTCATTTTGTTCAAGCAGCAAAAAATAAAACTTCGGAATATTTTTTATAACAATACTTTTTGGTTTTAACCTTTTCTTCTTCTTTACAAAATTATCTGTACTACTTCCAAATTGTAGTATCAGAAGATCAAAATATCTTAAAAAAATTCTATTCAAAATTATTAAAAACGCAATTTATTTAACAGGACGACGAAGACACGGCTGAGATACAAGTACGCAATGTTTGAAGCATGGGCTAACATTACATAGATAGCATGGGTCTAGTATAGATGTTGTTGTGGAAACCTCTATGTCAGCAGTTTATTAGTAATCATGGCTGTTATCTGCGAGGACTAATATTTTCTTTTTCAGATAGATTGGATACTTATATGCAGATTTGATATCTTCTTATCTTAAGGATTCAGGAGAGTGGGAAAATATCACAAAAAATCCATGAAACCGTAATATGGAATTCTATTTAAAAAAAATACAGGTGTTACCATAGTTATCATCTCGTCTTTTAAAATGTTGATACATATTTTCATGACACAATACAGGACATTATCACCCATTTACACTAAAATGTGACAAGGCTGAATGGAGATTATTGGAGGCAGTTTACAAATACATACATGCTTTCATGTAATTTGGGACTTGTCGTTTCTGGTGAGACTGACAAAGGTGTAGAAACCACCCAGTTCTTAACCAATTTATTTATTTGGCGCGGGGCCCATTGCTACTGCAAATTATATTAGCAGGCAACCCCATGGTTTTTGGGGATATGGATACTTTATTTTAATTTCATAATGAGATGACGTGTCATACGTCGTCTTTTTTTGAAAAAAATATCAATTTGCTTCATGGAAATTAGCCTTTTTTTATGTGAAGCATCTTCTAGTGACTTAGTAGTTTAGTTGCCTTTAGTTTTCTACTAGTAGTAACCTACTAAGACGGTACTCGTAGATAATTTCCATTATTACTGATCTTATTTGTGGCATTGGAGTTTTACAGCAACATGGTTGACAGTTGGTTTTCTACTTTTTGGCGGGAAAAGTGACAGTTTGCAGGTGGTGGTTATCTGTGTGTGTTTGCTTGTGGCGGATGCGGACTTTTTTTAATAAAAATGTTTTTTGTTAAATTCAAAATTGGTGTGTTTATTCTTTTGGATATTTGTACGTTTATGTATTTATTGGTAAAGGTGGTTTATATTGTGCCAATATTTTTCCGTGTTGGTGCCACACCATTTGCCCTTTTCCCAATTCCTTTCCCTAATGGGGTAAGCTAAAAAATGTTATACAAGTCGATCCTAGATCCTGGTGGAAGTCTCATGAAGAACTCAGATTTTGAGATGAAAGATTGATATTTTGAAAGTTGAAGTTTGTCGATTGTCCTCATTTTCAAGAAAACATTCAGCCTTTACTAGAAAAATGTTTTATATAGTTTCCATTAAAAGAATATGAATCTAACATCGACTGTTTGAAAGATTAGAATAGGTTTTTTTTAATAACGCATGAAATACGTTCATTGTACCTATTCCAACTAGAACCTAATTTCTAGTAATCATATTTGCTCCAAATATATGAAGAAAACATTATTTTTTCTCAATTATAAAAGTTTGAACTTTGAAATAAACATAATAAGATATTCATTTTTAAAAATTGTATAAAAACAAGACATGCAATAATGCTTAATTTAAATTGAATTATATTTTCCATTCATGGTCAATAGGTGTTTTGAAAGTGTGACCTCTCTTGTTATGTGGAAAATAACAAAACCATCCATGACGACAAACAACTACGCATTGGCCGTAGCCAAAAATAGAATAATTTGCATAGAGAAATAGATTGAAATGTAGACGCAAGTACCGTTATAAATAACGGGAGGGCAATACACTATATATTTTATTCATCTTACCTTAGATATAACAAACTAAATACCTACGTGTTATTCGTAGCTACGTTATCTCTATACTGTAACGTGAAAATAATATCTCTGAGATATTTGTTTGAATCGACAGGCTACAAGGTCACGATCAAACCGGTTCCATATATTAATTTATTGTGTATCTGTGTACAGAACTATTTATGTTCCATCTGTGCCTAAATTATATTTTTGTATTGTCTGTGCACGCAACACACGTTTTAAATATTTGATATAAGAATTAATATTTATTTTTCTTCCCAGGTGATACCCGCGCCGCCTATAAAGCCGCCCACGCCGGCCGTTCTCAACGGTGAAACGAACGGCGAACAAAGCGAGGATAGCCAGTCGCATTAATATTATATACAGGACACATAGTTAATAATATAAATACATTGTCCATGCTAGTTCAAAATGTTAGTTTATAAATGACATTTGGGTATTTCTTTTTCTGTGTGAACGAGTAAAAATAGATTGTGGTGGTTATCTGTGACTGTCTACAATCAGTCGAGTCGACGAATTTGAGACTGATGATAAGTGAGTTTAGATTTTTAAATTTTTAAGTCGTGTCTATCTTTATATGAAAAATGAATACCTTTAATACGTTCACGTACACTTGGCTGTTTGTCATCGCTCACTCAGAGTCAGCGCGGGGTCACGACATTTTCGATTTTTGTCTATTTAACTTTAATCAAATTACCCGCCCGTGATTTCATTTTCTACTTTAGCGCTGCAGCGCTTATCAATTTTGCATAAGCTTCCTTTGAGTTGCACTCACAACGCAGTCGTTACAATCTGACGAGCGGTTTATTCGCTTACTGGCGTGAAACGCAAACAAGTACAGCGTAAAACAAGCCGCGAATTGTCTATACCTACTGTGCCCCACGCATATATATATTTTTGTAAGCTGTCTCTGTTTGTCTAGCTAGCGCCTATCATCCTATCATATTTATAAATAATATTTAACTATACATAAGAATTTTTACAAAGTGGCTATGTATATTAAATGTAATATTGTAAAATTATAATTAACTTTTATTTAAATATAAGTTTAATGTAAGTGGGAACTTTGGTTTTATTTTGCCACATCCAACGAGTACTTTATCGTTCATTATTCACTAAATAAAGTCAGTTTCGTCAGATTAAGGGAAGAGAGGTCGATAGCATGCTATAGGAAGTGCTTTAAAAAAATCTGCCCATTTGAGCTTGATTTGCAAGCATAGGGGGATTTTGAAGGGTTCTCGTTTGTACCCTCCAGAATGTTCAACTCCACCATGCAATCTGGCAGATTAGGAGTTTTTCATTATCAGAGACACATGCAGCTACACTATCAGTATCTGACACGCTCGACCAGACCAAAAGTTACGAGTAACAATTTCAAAGTTCTGTAGATTACCCCGTCCCCCACCGGTGGTAGGAATTGTCAATAAATATTTTTTCTTTGTATCAGCATATTTATCTTAAAAATCCAGTAGGTCCCTACGACGCTCGAGTAAATCCAAATTTAGCATCATGTCCTGCTCTACTATGAGTACGAAGTTAGGATCGTGCTTATAATATTTACTTCAAGGCAAGACTGAAACTAAAAATCATGCATGTCCATTACTTTTACCCAGAGCAGATTGATGATGTATGTAAATGAGAAGGAAAGCGCCTTGCGCTGGAGTAATTTAATAAAAAAAATGCTCTATGGAATGAGAGTTACATTATTGGAAGATATTAAATATAATATTTCGCCAGCCACATAATGTTAAATTTTGTTTATTTATGGGATAGAGAGCTAACTTGCAGATACAATGCCTGCCTTTATACTAGTTCTGGCATACCTTTTTCGCTTCATCTTCATGAATCTCGAACATATGTTGTCTTTACGCATGCTTCTCGATAGAGACTTCCCTTATAGTTATTATACTCTTTGATAGAGACTACTGTTAAATTGGCCCATTTTTTCGAAAAAAAAAAGAAATATTATTTACATAATCCACGAATTAAACATTCTTAATCTTGAACCCATACTTAGTAAACTCTTTGTAACTTAGCGCCTTTTGTTTGCTACGCCCTCTAGTGGCGCATTGCAAACTGATTAAAAACTCACCAAACAGCATTTTACATACTCATTTCTAGATGGCGCTACTAGTTACATTCATATTCATTTAGCAAGTAGCAAGTCCGTCTACCGCCTGCCGCTGAGAGAGAATTCTGAGAAACGAAACTACACTACTACTACTACAGTAGCGCAGCTTAAAGTCGAACATGGACACTTAAATTACATTCATATTTATGTAATTCCATTTATTGTACTCAACGTAATACACCATATACAAAATCACAATATTTTATTATTTTCTCAAAACCTTATTGTTTAAGCATAGATGCAGTACCTATTTAAAACTCCTTACTTCAACAGGTCCCAACCTCAAGCTACTTATTCAAAGGGGGTAAATAGTAGCTTTGGTGTAACATTTATAAAGATACATTTATTTTCGTATATCGTCAGTTTTTAGTAGGTAATACTTCAATAGTGTTGAATTAGAATGTACAGTATTGGAACTTCTACCGGCTAAGTATGTGCTTTAATGTTTTTAGAATATAATACTATATGAAATTAGGGTGTGTCTAAACTCAAAATGTAGTAAATGCACCTTGGAAACGTAGGCTTAAAATCCAGGTAAAATTCCGGACGACCTACATAGCTTTTACAGTACGAAATAAACGGGACGGGCGTACCTACAGTACCTAGATAACTATGTAACATGAACGTCCACGGTTAGTACATACAAACACGTGAGCAATCAATAAAATACTATATAGACGGCCATGTACTGCCGATGCCTACCTACACGCGTCCCGGCCGGCGCCTATGGAAACGAATGGAGTTGATTCCATAATTTTATTTTTGTTAAGAGTGGTGTCATGTATTATGCTGTAATTCAGAGATGTACCGTAAAATGTATAAAGAGGTATTTGCGACATTTTTTCCAGTAAAACAGTAAGTAACAAATTAAAAAAATCACAAATGCCACATGTACAGCAACAATGTTTTTATCATTCTTCGAATATTATTCACTAATATATTTCAATATTAAATTCTGATCACAAAATAAATACTTGAAAGAACAAACTATTTTTATCAGACTAAAATCGATTGCTGTATCGATTTTTACCATAGATCTTCTCAAACTCTTTTCTCTATTCGTCACAGCTGTCAATGACATTTCGACGTTCGAAACGTATTTTTACGAAATATATTTTGCCTATTTTTCTTAGTGGAATCGCTAACTTATATAATTATTTCCTTAAAATTAGTTAAATAATTAAAATTACAATGAATATACATTGATTATGCACTTTAAAAGTTAGTGGATTCCTTGTCTCTTTGATAACAAAAATGGTAACTTTGAATACAGACGAAAAATTTAGTAGAGGTGCGTGCGTCATATTTTCAATGTGACCTATTTCTCCGAAACAGTGATCGTTTCGTTTAATCACATTACTGTTGCTGTTTTGCAGTGAGGAGAAATTTCTGTTTTTATTTGGATATTCAAGACCATGGTTTGTCTAGAGCCATGAGTCGCAGAATTGAAGACTTGGGTTTGGTAAGTGCATTCTTTATAGCTTTTACCGCCAAAATTTTTATTCTCCGAATTAGCTCCGATAGATATATAGCTACGTTGCCACATATTTTTTGGTTATGTATAAATATAGGACGACTAAAAGAGGGATAACAGTATTTTTTCATTCGGCAGCCTATAAAACAGGTTAACTGTATTTAGTCATGTTATTTACGTACAGTTTCATGTTTTGCTTACCAGCCTACCTTACGTAGATAAAAAAATTATAAGGTTGAATATTTACCTAAATGTAAAGGTTTATTTTGTTTAGACATTCATTCTGGGATATATTTCACGTGCGAATTTCGTAATTTTCATTATTTTGATACTTATTTATTGTAAAAATAATCAAGTCAAATGATAAAAATAAAATCATTTCTAATTATAAAGGAACGCAATTTGAATGGACCAATGAGCGTAGTTTCCCCTTCCACAGAACCACAGCGCCTCTAGTGTCCAAAACATAAACTAACGTGAAATATCTCCATCTTGTATGTCAGATTTGTGTTTGTTGTTACTTTTTCGATTTTATTTATCAATTGTGTATAAATACATACAAAAAGTGTTTTAAATGTTGCGTTATTACTTCATAATCATATAATTCAACGAGTGTTACAAGCAATTTGTATAAATTTACCGTCCTAAGGTAATTTTGTGAGTGACGAACATAGTGGTCGTCTCAGTGACTAGTATATAGTTACTTATTTTTGTGATAAGCGGAGCGCGGGGGCCTCGCGGACGGCTTTTATGTAAGTATATACACTGTATATTAACCACACGTGCATACTGACCCAACGATCGTGTCAGAATTGTTTAGAAAACAGTTTAAAAACAGTTGGAGTGGCTAGTGAGTCGCATAGCTTGCGTTCAATTTTAGGTCATCTTTTGTACGGTCGCGTTAGAGCCACCGCCGCCGCACCGCGAAATGCAGCGGGCCGAGGCCAAGCGGCGCGCTCTCTCGCGCTGAGTTGCACTACATCCATTTTAAAAGCCGTTTGAAATGTAGTTTCCTTCGGGTTACGCGTGTGTCTGCTTAATTTTTGACAGTTGATATTGCTTTCATCTAACCAAGGGGTTGTGAGTCTTAAGTATGAAGTCTTAAGGGTGAGATTGGTGTGTGACAGTTTAGTGTGTTATTTTTTTGCGCGGGACGGTTGGCGCGAGTCGTGGAGGGCGCGATGGCGCGGCCCGCCGGCGTCGTCTCGTTGTGTCGACCGTATTTCAAGGAAAACTCGGCGATGTGTGTTCCGGCGCGTCGATAACTCGCGGCGCTGCTGGCCGCCCCGTTACATTGTGCCGTCGCATGCATCGCTCAATAACATATTCCGAGAATGCTCTCTGACCAAACGCCGTCGCTCGCACCGAGTAGGTAGCTGTTGCGACACATACATTACGCGTATTAGGTCAGCCTGGTGCAATGCTGACTTTCACATAATGTCACTTCACACTGCATTACCTAAACAATAACATTTGCTGACACTAAATTCTAATAAGAGTTGCCACAATTTTCCTAAAGTTCTCATATTTGTCATAATTTAATGCTGGCAACATTAGATTAATTAAGTATAATTGTTTATGAGTTTAACTTAGGTAACTGATAGGGTAATGTTTGATAGTAAAGTGTCATATTTTGTAGTGGCCTACTATGTAGATGTGTGAATAAGTATGCTTGTTAGCCTCACTGGGTCTGATGTAGTACATAAAGTTGATGGCTATAATCACACTGACAGATGCATTAATCTGTCAAACACCAAGCGGTCACCGGTGACCGCGACCTATTGTTCTTTAATTGTGTCTATAAAACCGGTACTCGACGAGTTAATGGGTCTATTATGCACTGTAAGTCAACCTTTGTGTGTGGAATATGTTGACTTGTTAATTGCAAGGTTAGCAAGACAACACATATACTGATATGCAGCTAGGTATTTATTAAAATGCATTCAAACAGCAAAAACTATTAGGACACTGAACTACTTGTTGCATGAGATTGTGGAAAATATTGAGCAATACTGATTATGTTGCATATTTTGTTAATTTTGCAGAATTCACAAATTTTATTATACAAAAAGTATTGTTAGTAGCCTATACAGTTATTTTTATCAGTGGTCATGTATGTAATCTTTTAAAAATATAATTAATAAACCACAAATATGTTAAAAAGCTGTTGATAAGTGAGTTTGTGTTCTTAAAGTGAAATTACATTTTTATGTGTATTATTTATACTCCAAACAAAATCATTTATTAAATGTCAGTCAACCTTAACTTCAGGGCGAGTAATACAAAAATGTTTAAATGGAACAAGAATCAATGCTGAAAGTGTAACTGTAATCATGATAATATTAACTTGTAACATCAGTCCCAGTTTGAAACCTGTTGCTTTGAATTGTTCACAAGTGGTATCACAGACTGTCTTAAAGACAACTTCACTGTGTACAAAGTATGTAGTTTAAAAAAATGCCATGGTATGGCAAATATTTGTATTTGTTAATGAAAAGTGCAATCAATTTATTTATTTTAGTATCAGACAAGGAATCGAGATGTTGTACAATTATTAGTATATCGATATTTATCTCCTCAAAGCCAAAATTATCACAAATTCTATTTATCCTTGTTCAAGGGACAAATATTGTATTCTAATAAGAATCTGTTACGTTTATTTATAATTAAATTCACAGCTTATACATTGGATTGATTTTTTTAAATGAACAACATATACCTATTTAACTTGTAATATAACTTTTATTCATTATAAAACACATGGCTGGTATTATGCCATTGAGTCCGCCCACTAGGAAACAACAATATTACTTTTACAAATTGCTTAACAGTATTTACTTTGTCAACCATTTATTTTATAACAAGTCATCACAAACTAGTCCTTGTTGTGTGTTGTCCTATTGATAATGTGAAATGGTATTGATTGAGTCTATGTTTGTTTACAGCAGCAAGAATTATTTCTGACGTCTCGCGTGACGCACGTTGTGCGCGATCGGGTGACAGAGACTAGCAGTGCGGGGGGCGCAGGAGTCGCGGGCCCCGCGCGATGGGCGCGACGTGAGGGGCGCGCGCGCGCCGATGCCATGCTGGAGCGCGTGCGGCCAGACCCGCCACACCACACACCCAACAACAAATACATACAGATCTCTGTCCACAAGGTACACCCACTCATACCCCCACTTTATACCACCCTTACCCAAGGTGCCAGTTTGATGGATAACATGTGGCACTACATTATATTCAGACAAATGTTATTAGAATCATGTAAATATGCTTCAAATTATTGTTGCTCTATATCCATGAAATTGATGCCTTTTTAGTTATTTATGTAAGTTAATTGTAAATTAGTATTGAGATTCATACAGTTAGTGATAAATAATTAGTAATTAAGATAAATCTCTTGTACATAAACTGAGTCAAATATAATAAGGGAAATATGAGTGTAACTATGAGATAATTATCCCAATGTTATATATCAGTTAAGATATCAGTTTATGTATGTGGGATTGATGCTTCCATAGGTCTTCTTAGAGCTTGTTGCATATCTGCATGTCTTTGTCTAAAATTATTAACCACTTTCCTTTTTCTTTATAACCTCTATATATTTATCTTGCGCTGTATTATTATATATCTTTACAAAATATTTATTAATCTTTCAGGCTATATGTCTATTGGATAAACTGTATGATACATTCTTCACGCCGCCGCGCGTAGCGCATATCACGTACTTCACTAAACATTTTATCAAGATTGAATTTTTGGACAAGTATGAAATAACATTTATAAAAAAAGTATGTCTTTTAACTCACTAATAAACAAACAACTAAATTGTTATGTTCAATTCCAGGTTGTGCAGACCTATTTACAAGGAATTTGATGAATGGCCAGAGATATCATTAGAACCAGACCCTCCAAGAGAAAAGAAGAAAGAAACACCAGAGAAAATTGTTGCCAATAATCCAAAAGATATTGCCATACAAAAGTAAGTCGAAGTTGTTCTCAAGTGTATTATTTATTGCATGAATTGCCATGTTCTTATAGTAAACATGTTTTACAGAATGACGCGTAAAAGTCGTCCAAGAATCAAGGAGAAGGAAGAAAAAGAGGCAAAGGGTGGCTACTGTGAGATGTGCAACGCAGACTACGAAGACGCGACACTACACCGGCGCTCCCCGCACCACCTCGCCTTCGTGCGCAACCACACCAACTTCCTCGCGCTGGATTCGCTCATCGGCGCTGGCACTGATGTCGCCACTTTCCTTGACAAAGCCACACCCATCAACGGTGAACGGCGTTCGCTAAGAAAAGTGTGCAACGGTGACAGCGACCCACCCAAAAGCAAACGGTCGAAACGATCCCAGTCTCCAGACTCCACAGTCAATGGTAACCTCAGTCCAAGGCGTAACGGACTCGTAGAAGATGAGAAAAAACATAATACCCGGTGCAGTAAACGAGCCAGTGAAGCAGCCACTGAAGACCGACAGTACTACAAAGTAGTGGGTGTCAGCACGAAGCTAAGGTCGAGTGGCGGGTTCTCAAATAAAAGGAAAGATTCGTCGCCCTCGTGTAACGGCACTAAACCCCTAGTCGTTAAGTTCAGAAAAGTACGGCGCTCAGAGTTATCTGTGCTCAGTGATGAAGCGGAACAGTTCATGTTTCCAAAACGCGCCAGTTCCACTAGTTCTACATCTTCCGACGATGATGACAAAGAACTGAGTTCGCGAAGAAAATCTACGCCGCCGCCACCACCACCACCACCCGTCGAAAGGCGGAGACAAGCGCGGCCACTCGCACTGAAGGAAGAGTCTTCTGAGGAAGACAGCTGGCCCGAAGATAAGCGAAGGCGAAAAAAAAGAACGCCTGCTGTCACTAAACGAGCGCGCCGGGTGCCTTGCAAAGCACCGAGCACAGAACCACCTCCTGAGCCTCCCGAGGTTGTGGAAGAAATAGTGCCTGCAGAGCCTCCTGCACCACCCGACGGCGAAGTAAGTCCTTTGAGAGAAGAACCTGTCGAGCGATGTATGAAGTGGGAAGATGGAAAGCTAAAGTACACCCCAGCTGTAGAGCAATTGGAATTTGCCTTTGAATCTGTGCCACATAGTGAGCCTTGGTTTGAAACATTTAAAAGACAAGATGAGGACAAGGCGCTTGCTAAGAATATACCTCAATTTTTTGGTAAGTTTTAGGAAATAACAAATGTTATATTCATATATTTATAAAAATGTATAATTAGTCATTAAATTTTATGTAATTTTCTGTATAATTAATTTTTATTCTGTTACTTGTTACAGCATTATATTCAAAATCGCCAAAGTTACCATATGAAATTGGTCAGTTACCACCTTTGAAGCCAAATTGCTGTCCACTAAGTGACTTGGTAAAACGAGAAGATAAGCCAGGACCGTCACGGTCTTACGGAACGCGAGGGATGAAGAAACAGAAAATCAGAAAAAGAACGGCCGCACTGCTAGCGCTAGAGGGGCACCCTCGGAAATCCCCCCGCGAACATGCATCTACCCTGGCCATTCTAGGCTCGGCTGGTTTGGTGCACCGGCGGAGACATGCTGATGATAACAAGTCCACCGCGTCGGAAGACACGATCAGCGACACGCACAGTAATGCCAAAATTGATGCTGTAATGTCTGAAACTCAAGAGGCATCTGAGAGGTTACAACAATTTTTATCTGAAGTGTTCGAGGACGCGGCGGATTACGACGTTTCTGACGAAGTGATGGACGGTGAACCGGCTGTCACCACGTCAACTAACATGCTCGACGTGTCCAGTATGGTGTCCGAGTGTGAGAACTGCGATCTGATTAGAAATGAAATCAAAGAGGCAACCGACCGGCCTAAAGGCAGACGCGGCAAATTTAAAAAGAAGAATAGAACGGGCTGGCCTAATAAAAAGAAGCATACTAAGAAGAGTTCCAGGACAAGCAGTGTAGAGTCTGAAAACAAATTAGACAGCAGTTTAGATCGGTCGTCAGCAGAGCCCCCAGATGACGATACCACACAGGACACGATCAGCGAGGAAGATACTAATTTATCTGAGACTGAAAAAGAAGACAGAACTATATTAGAAAAATCCAAATCAGAGTTTGACTCGAAAGATAAAACTCTGACAGAGGACTCTGTAACTGAGAAATGTGAACCAATGGACATATCTGACAGCAAAGACAAGACTATACAGGACTTAAAGATATCAGAAGAAAAATCTAAGGATGAGAAAGAGGAACGAAAACTACGTTCAGAGACTGATGATAAGGATATTAAGAAGAGAAAACGGGCGTTGCACGGGCTGGGCGACTGGATGCAACCAGTAGTGCGCGTAGCCCGAGTGGACCCGGGCGCGGCGCGCCGTCTGCGGTCAGCGGCGCGGCCGCGGTCCAACCGGTACAGATAGCGCACGGCCCGCCGCTGCCTCGCCAAACAACGATAATTCTTCAAATGGACTCCATTGTTTCGCCAAACCTACCGTCGAACAATCAGTAGTTGTGATCGCACTTCGGAGCTATAATAGCTGCGTAGACTGCTCGCCGATGACGCGTAGATTATAATTTTGTTGTTTGTTATTTATTTTGTAAATAGCCTGTTGTTGTCTGTGTCAGCATGAACTTGGCCATTTTTGGCAGATGAAACTGGGAGTATCAGTATTTAAATTGTTTTTGTTTATAAGAGAATAATATATCTCGAGGCTGCGAACTACAGAACGTTGTGTACATAGTGGTGTAATATATTATGTGAGGACTTGGACCTATGTGTGTGTGTAAGACCAGTGCAGTGAGTAGACGTGGCGAACTTAGTCTGTATATAAATGTTATTGTATGCTTAGAAAGTATCTTTCTTTTTTAAGATAAATGGAGATGCAGGAATAAAGTTACTTCAGCCACTTGTTGTATCTACCACTAAATGTAACTACATAAATATTATATAATTACTGCAATAACTGCTGTCCATAGACAGAATCTATAGGAATTTATTAATGTGTTTTTCTCAATGTTGTCTCAGTGTCTACAATTAGAACTAGTCAGTATTCGATTCCACTTTTTGCTGGAGCTTCGTATTTCTGACCCCATCTCCTTTATCTATGTGAAATTCATCAAAATAAAAATGTATAAATTACTATGATTCTCAGTTATTTGTTTCATTAAACCTATATACAAAAATATATTATGTTGAAAAGAAAATTTCCAATTCTCTATAAATAAAATAAATCATTTTCCTATTTTTCTTGATTTGAATATAATCAGCAGACAAATCGGATTATTGATTTATATGCAAGTTCCCATCACACGCATATTCCCATATGGTGTGTGCAGAAAGAACCCCCCTTACTATTCTCTTTGCGCCTAGCCTGGCTAGAGCGTCGCACAAGTTACGAGAGTATAATTTAGTTTTGCAAGAGGACATCGTCACCAAATGCATTATTATTTGTAAACCTTTTGTTGATGAACAACATACACCTATACCCTACGAGGCTAACTAGAGGGCACAGACGCTATGCAAACAAAGTATATTTTTATCAGTTTCCGTTGTACTGAACACTGATAAGAATAACGCTGAAGTTAGTTAATCTTTGTAAAAATGCATGAATAGCCCTTTAGATCACCTTGAAGCAATTTCTACGCTTCAGTCCATTGTTTTGCATCTGACTGTATACTGAAGTAGGTTACTACCTACATAGTACATACAAACGAGTACTTGATTGGAATTGCTTGAATTTTAACGATTGTTACAAGAAAACGAAGTGTAAACCTTAATTGATTTACACAAAGTTGTTATAACTGAAATAATAAAATATTGTCAAAAAGGTAGGCGTATTTTAAGACAACGCCATCTAGAAGCTTAGTAATAGCTTCTATTATTTACTCAAGTGAAGACATGATGCCCTCGTTATCATGTTTTCAGCAGTAAAGGTCAATCAGTCTGGGGCCAACGTTTTCACAATTCAGTACATATTCAATTAATATGAAAGTTACAGCAAAAGTGGTTTTTCTTACTATTGAAGATTACTTTGGAAGATTCTTATTTAGTGTGGGCCATTTTTGGTAGGTTTATAAGCATTCTAGCAGCGGCTATGTCTAAGAAAGGTTGAAATAAGAAAAAATAAAGTTTGCTATAACATGTTATTTTCAACTGAAAGTTATCACAAGCAACAATTCTTCCACTACAGACAAAAAAGACATGGCAAATGCAATATAACATCAGTTGCTTTTCATATGACTATAATGCTAAAATATTGTACTATAATTTAAACAGTTGATTTGTTCGGGAATTGATCTGAACCAAATGAAAAACAAATGATCTACTCTAACAGGCATATAATCAATAAAAACAGAATTTACACTTTTTACATCTTCGGATGTGGATGTTGGATCAGCATAACTTACATTGTTCATTCTTATTAGAATTGTACATGTAAAATAATGAAACTAAACCCTAAGTTCAATGCCTTTACATCTTAGGCCAGTTGTATTCTAAAACACTGTAATTTATCTAGAACTGCATTCTCAACAGGCATTATGTACAACTGGCCTGAAATTCCAGACAATGCTAAATGTTATTCTCAATTTATTCATAAATATCCTCTTTGTCAGCGATGTATTGGATAATGTCTTTAGGTCTAACCAGCCTCTCCGCATCCCCATCGGGAATTTCAAATCCAAATTCATCTTCCATTGCCATTATGACCTCAACATGATCCAGGGAGTCCAGACCCAGATCATTCATGAAGTGGCAGTCTAGACTCAACTGAAATAGATAATAACTTGGTTAATATCAACATTCACTAAATTATATTTTAAAAGTCAGCAAGCATAGACAACACACACGAGATAAGTACTATTTGTAATAATTTTAAGTAAAGGCTACCTTTTCGGGATTAATTTTGTCATAAAGTTGAAGTACAAGTAGCACTCTACTTTTAATAAGTTCTAATGTGAGTGGGGGCCCGCCGCTGTAGTTGCGGACACTGATATTCTGGGCCTGAAACAGAATATTATAGAAATAAATGTTATGTCTGTACCTTACAACAACTGAGTTTGTCGTATGCCTTGCAAACTTTCAGCACTCGTTCTTCTATTTCCTGTGGCGAGGGCTTGTGGAAGCCTCCTGTGGTGTACTGTTGTGTTCGCTGTACCTAAACAATTTGGGGAACACTGTACACATTTGTTATGCAATAAGATTGAGGTTATAAATTTAACGAAGATTTACTTGGAGCAAACTTTGGATTTTAATAGTGTTAGTGTTCTCACTAACACTATTATCTTACAAATAAAGTTCCTTGTGCGCAAAATATCACGTTGTATTGACTTAGAGAATCCTTACCCCATATTGATGATACTGGGTGTTGTACGCTTTAAGGGCAGCGTTTATTGTGCTAAACTTCTGCTGCAGAACAACTGTTGAAAGTCGGCATACTACCGGTGTTCTAAAGGAAGCAGAGCTTCGTAATAATCCTCTTAGAGCACTGCGGGCAATATTTGCAGCAGCCATTTTCCAGACTTCCAAATGATTTGATAATTCATAGACAAGCCAGACAAAAGAAGAGAATAAAGTCACAGATCAATAATTGAATATGAAACGTCAAATATACAAAAATTTTTCCAGCAACAATTTTTTATTCTAAAATATTATCGTAGCAATTGAAAGTAATAATACTATTATTGTCATTGATAAAAATGAAATCAATTGTATTAAAGTAAAAAAATAATTAAAAAGGAACTTATTTTAGTATCATATAAGTCGCAATCATAATGCATAAAGTTTGAAAAGGTTAAATTTTGTCTTTGACACGTCGTCTTCTGTCAACTCAACCTACTCCTGTCAGTTTGTCATTTTTCATTGTTTTTGTGAACATAAGTTGAAATGGATCTAATGTATTTACACAATTAGAAATCAAGAAAAATGGGTAACGCTGACACAAAATTGAACTTTAGAAAAGCTGTCGTTCAGCTTACGTCAAAAACACAGGTAAGTGTCTCGAATTTGATATAATAAAATAAATTTACGAAGTCGATGAGTATTGATGAAATGATTTCATTTTAGCCTATTGACTCTGGGGACGATAGTTTTTGGGACCAATTCTGGTCAGAGAGTGTGACCAATGTCCAGGATGTGTTCGCACTGGTGCCTGGTGCAGAGATCCGTGCATTACGAGAAGAATCTCCCAACAATCTCGCGACACTAGTTTATAAGGCTGTAGAGAAACTGGTGAAGATGGTGGACAGCAGCTGCCGGACGCAGAGGGAACAGCAGACAGGTAGCACTTTATCAATATTGAAGTAGTAATGAGAATACAGACAATTTCAGTTTTATCCTTATCCCTATGCCATGGTTCTTACCTTTTCTTGCATCTTTTTAATAAATTATAAATTCCATAAAATGGGCATCCAGTAACCTTCACCCCTAGAATTTGTGATTAAAACAAAAAAAATTTAAGTGTCAACATATATTTTATCTTACACAGTATCTTGTAAAATCAATGATTTTATCAAACATATTTAAAAATAATGTAATCTAATTCAGACATTGCAAACATAGAACACCCAAATTCTCAGTATTTTTACTCAAAAGAGGTTTAAATATAACATTTTATTATCTGTATCAGATAAAGTGTGACAAAGACAAGAGAATAATTTCAAATAATCTTTAGATCTACTAAGGTTCCTATAAATATAGTTCCTGTTTGTATTAATAATATTAGGACTCAAAAAACGATGATTTCAGATTCTTTGAGCCATATCTAATCTGTACAATGACATGTTTACATACTAATGATAAACTATACATCAATTTGAGTGATTTATTAGTAATCTTTAATTATTTTGATGGCAAGAAAGTTCATTGTTTATGACAAAAGAAAGATTTGTTAGTGTATACAGGATCTAAAGATGTAATCCAAAATTCTTTACTTAATAGTACACTTGCACCCAGATTTAACAATCTATAAGCCAACATGGTAATCAATAAAAATTGAGTCATCATTAATCTGATTCAAATTGTACCTACATAAATAAATAACTTTAATCAAGTGAGTCCATAGAATTGTTTTGATAACACAATAAGTGACATTTTTTGCCAGACTCCCTTTGACATATACAAATTTAGAAAAACAATTTAATATTGGCAACCCTATTTGTGTCTTGTCTCTTTTATTGAATTTTCGACATTAGTAACGAAATAATAAGATTGAAATTTAATTGAAAGAGGTTAGGGTCTATTCCTTACCATAAGGCTGTATTTACTATCATTCATCATACTTGGAACTCATACATTATATTAAAAAAAAATGTGAACTACCATGTACACACTGTAGATGCATGAAAGTGATTTGTACACACTAAGTATTTTTTTTTAATGTCTCTCTGATAGATTATTTGAAAACATTAGACACATTTTATTTTCTGACATAAATAAATACTTTCGAAGATATATTGATTTGAAATATCACATGCTGTCACTTTTACATAATTATGTTTTATGCAAAAAAATTATGTAGCTAGCTCCCACTCCTAAACTTTGATTAGGTTTATGTAAGTATTGTTTTCTTATATGATAAATTAAAAAATACATGTCTAATATTTTTTCATTACCTAACTGACGGACTAATTAGATTTTTATTTTTCATACCCTGTCATAATCCCTATCTTACACTTGTTGTCTGGACTTTAAAAGAGACAGATCTCTGAGTTTGTTTCGGCATTTCTTCTCAGAGTAGTCAGTTAGGAAATGTCGGCCTCATCTTTCGCTTGATAAAATTGACGTGTAAAAGTGCTGCCTTGTAGCCTATTTGCAGAAATAAATTTACTTGTTTCACTTACATTAGGTATAGTTTCAAAGTGGATAATAATACTAAAATTAAACAAAAGCAGCAGCCCAATAATAAAATCTTGAGTTAGCAATTAATTAGTAGCTTCAATAGGGGACCATGAAAAAAAACAATTTTTCAGTAATTTTGCTTTTACAGTTTTAACTACAATGTTAATTTCTTACAGCATTAAACTGCGCTCGTCTCCTGACAAGAGTGTTACCATACATGTTGGAGGAACCGGAGTGGCATGGTTTCTTCTGGTCATCATTACCAGCGGCCGCTGAGAATGAGTCAGTGCCGCTAGCCCAGTCACTTATCAACGCTGTCTGTGTGAGTATCTTATCTTTATTCATATCTGTTTTACAATTTAAATGGTTTATTGATTTTTTGGTTGTTGCCTAGGTAACTGTTGAAGTTGTGGTTATAATCACTACATGTTAAATAAATAAATAGTCACATAATGTTACGCTTCTTAATTGCTGAAGAAGTCGCTATTTTTAATTGACTTCCCGAAAAGGACGAGGTTCTCTATTCGTCTGTATGTTTTTACCAGTTGTTTCGAGTCCCATGTAATATGGAGTAAGTGTATCCAGACTTCGTACTATTTATAACAAAAAGTACAAGAGATCAATAAATTCCTTAATCATATTGCCCTAGCCGGGAGTCACACTTGCAACTGCTTGACCAACCTGGCCCAATCCTTGTTTAAAATATATCACAGAACTAGCTTCTGTTAGCGGCTTCGCTCGCGTTTCCATGCAATAAAAAGTAGTCTACGTATTATTACAGACCATAATCTACCCCTGTTTCAAATTTCATCCCAATCCCTACAGCCGTTTTGACATAAAGGAGTAATAAACAATCGAACAAACATACAAACTTTCTTATTTATAATATTAATAGAATAGAATAGTGAATACGCACGAGTGCATTAAAAAGGTCTTAATTAAATTCCTTTGTTAGCAGGAAAACTCTAAATGTTATTGTACACCATTGTTCACAGGATCTACTGTTCTGTCCGGACTTCACAGTCGCCACCACGAAGCGGGCAGGTCCCGTAAGTATTGATCCATTGATAATATTGGCTTATCTAACCATTGTATTGTGCACTGTACTCTTAGGTACACACATACAACCTACACGTTGAAAAAACCATACGGTTCGTCTATTGATTTTCAACCATTTTATCTTGTTTTAAGGTTGAATATGTATGCCTCATGAATATTATTATTGTCAAAGTTTTTTTTTTCTTGAATGCCAACCGAGTCCCCAACATAGTGTTGACTATACTGCCAGTGTCGAGTGGTGACGGCAGATTAATAAACCGTCGAACTTTAACTTTCTGGTAGTTGGTATATATTGTGTATAATGTATAATACTTATTTCAATTAATTCACAAAATGTAATATTATGTAGACTTTGACGCAAATTTTTTTTTCGTTGTTTTCACAACGCTTGCGTCAAGTGTTGCCGTGTAAATGAAAATGTGTTGAATTGTCGACTTTAACAACAAAAGAAGAAGATTGAAAATTTAATTGAAAGAGATTGGAGTCTATACCTAACTGTAAGGCCTAATGGACTAATCGGGTTGCAATGTTCGTTATACAAAACCACTTAACTTACATGTTTGTTCTTGTACAAATATTAAAAGTTTAATATTGGTTCAGAAAATGCAATTTCTGTAATATGTAAAGTTGTAAAGCAAAGCGTTGCTAAGTGCTATGTATTATCGTTTTATTTTGTGTGTAAAATTCTTCAATTATAAATTATCATAATTAACACACACACACAGACACGTCAAATTTATAACACCTCTGATTTAAAACTAATAAAAAAAAGACTGCTTCGTTGGCCGAGTGGTCGCAACTGCGACTGCCGGGCGAGGGGTCTCGGGTTCGATTCCCGGGTCGGGCAAAGTATTACTGAGTTATTTAAAAATCTCAGTAGTAGCACGGAGTCTGGAATTGTACCCGGTATATGACAATAGGCTCACCCCCTATTACACGGGACTCATAACATAAATAGTGAAAAGTGGGTGTTGCATTGTACAGTGGCAGTAAGTGCCGTAATGTGCACCTCTGCCTACCCCTTCGGGGATAAAAGACGTGATGTTATGTTAGGTAAAAAAAAATGTATGACAAGGGCACGGACCTAGAGTCCGTGGAGAATTAATATGTAACATTATAAAAAAAAAACACATCTGATTTTGTGTCGAGTGTTATAAAACGATCAGAGATGGTCACTTCCCTTTTGCAAATTAATATTTTCAACTACTAGCATTAATCGAAATACGAAACGGTCATTACAACCAGTAATAAGAATCACTGTTTATTACGGAGTTCTATGGCAACTTAATTTAGTTCTAATCTTAGTATTTTTAAGATTCAATATCGAACATCCATAACGTACACGTTTACGCTCAGTCCCCTATATAATCTATGGCGAGTAATGACTCGCCCATAGAATTGAAAAACATAATAGACGCATTCGTCTATTATGTTTTTCAATTACGATTTTAAAACACTACAATTTGATAAGGGTCTGGAGTAGACCTGATGATGGAGCCGACAGACAGTCGAGGGAACTCCTCAGCGGTTTATATTAACTACCTTGTATTGATGAGGACTTTACACCTAGATAGAGTGGGGCTGTCATTAAGGGTCTGATGATGAAGAAGTGTAATTGTTAAGGGAACTTCTCAACGGTATACTGTAACTACCTTGTGTTTGGGCTTGTATAATTTGTATTGATTAGAACTTTGCACCTATGTAGATTATAAGTAACAAAACGGATATATGTAGCTTTACACTGAAAATGATAAAATAATCAAATAAAAACTGCGTTTAAAAAACCGACTTCAAAAAACCAAAAAACTAATAACAAACAAAAAGTCAAAACTAAAAAGCAAATAATAACTATTATTAGATAGGTTACCCACCCACTGATAGGTTAGAAGTACTGATAGATTGGCCCAATCTGTTGGTAATATTCATGCAAATTTGAAGATATACAAAACTTAGATGCCTAAACAAATCTATAAAACGTACATATAAATGCTAGACCAATAATTATTGTTCCTTGAATTACTAATGTATACGAGATTGGCATGATAGCGATTATATTAGTGTTATAGTGTCCAACGCATTGTGTACCCGACCAACTGAGGCCCAGACTGTTGAAATAAAACAATACGTAATGAAGGTCACACCTTTAGTACAATGTCTGTAATGCAAATAATATTGCTCGTACACCATCCGATTTACTTATTTGATTTTTATAGAATATTTTAGTGATAAAAATAAATATAACGTCTATGAATAAGTATAACGTAGTTCTCAGAAGCGTTAAGCAGAGGTATATTTAATGTAGCATTTGTTATGGATCCCGTGTAATAGCATTGAACATAATTCCAATTCTCTCTCTCTCTCTCTCTCTCTCTCTCTCTCTCTCTCTCTCTCATCATCACGCATTTTATCTCCGAAATGGTAGACAGATACCTCTGTACCCATTACGGCACTTAATGCCATTGTACAATGTAACACCCACTTTTCACTATTTATGTTATGAGTCCCATGTAATAGGGGGTGAGCCTATTGCCATAAACCGGGCACAATTCCAGACTTCATGCTTCTACTGAGATTTTTTATTAAAAACCCAGAAATAATGCCCGACCCGGGTTCAAACCCGAGACCCCTTGCAGTCGCAACAAGTCAAGCAGTAATTCCAATTATAATTTTAAATAAAATATTATTGTTAGTCTGTAATGGTAAGTGGTGCAGCAATACATTCACTGCTTCCTATTGGACGCCTACTTCATAACATAACCAGTTAAAATACTTCCGAAAGGTTAGCTTCCGCACAAAGGTGATATCTGTTGTAATAATTATACGAAAATCCCCTCCTAACGCTTCTCTAAACTCCATAGAGAACAGGCATCCTAAATGTCTATCAGTCAGTCACTCACACAGTACAGTAACGTAATACATAGTTTGTGCGCGATTATCCCACGATAGAATAGACTGTACCGGTTTTCAGAAAATGTTTGTTACACTTTAAGAAGGTTTTAGTATATTAATTAACTAGTTACTTCCGCGCGGTTTCACACGCTCTGCTCAGCTCCTATTAGTTGTAGCGTGATGTTTTATGGCCTATAGCCATCCGCGATAAATGCACTATCCAACACAAAAATAATTATTCAAATCAGACTTGTAGTTGCGGAAATTAGCGCGTTCAAACAAACAAACTCTTCTGCTTTATATAATAGTATAAGATTGACTTAAAAAAACAGGGGGTCGAAGTCGGTTAATATACGTAATTTATCTAAGAACTGCCTCGTTGGCCGAGTCGTCGCAACGCAATTGCGACTGCTGGGCAAGGGGTCTCGGGTTCTATTCCCGGGTCGGGGAAAGTATTACTGGGTTTTAAAAAAAAAATCTCGGTAATAGCACGGCGTCTGGAACTGTGCCCGGTATATGGCAATAGGCTCACCCCCTATTACATGGGACTCATAACATATATAGTGAAAAGTAGGTGTTACATTGAACAGTGGTATAATGTGCACCTCTGCCTACCCCTTCGAGGATAAAAGGCGTGATGTTATGTGTGTGTATGTGTTTATCAAAGAATGATATACATATTGATTGGTGTTCGTAGGAGCGTGCAGAAGAACTATCATCCCTAGACAGTTGTGAGTACATATGGGCGGGCGGCGTCGGGTTCGCGCGGTCGCCGGCGCGGGTGGCGGCGCACGAGGCGGCGCGCACCGAGCTACTGCGGCTCATGCTCACCTGCTTCAGCGAGACCATCTACAAACCTGCCTCACACGCCGCCTCGCATCATAATAAATGGATCGCGTGAGTTGAAGTCATATTATTTTAAGCTTTTCCGGAATTTTGGTATAGTCTAGTAAATTAGTGTTTATTTTAATTTATTTTTGCCATAGTAGAGTTCGTATGTTTGTCATTCAATGACTCTAAACTAGCTAAACATATTTCGATGAAATGGAAATACGGCAAGGATTTAACCGCGGTATCGGCTGGAATCAGTAATTGGAACCGTGTGAATTTTAGTCGTCGTGGTGGCCCGGAGGTTAAGACGCCCGCTTCTTATGCGTAAGGGTGCGGATTCGAAACCTACCAACGGCAAGTACCAATGTGACTTTTTCCGAGTTATATGTACTTTCTGAGATTATTTAGACACCACTGATAAACGGTAACGGAAAAAACCCGTCAAGAAACCTTGACTTTATAATTTCTAATTATTAGTTTGAAATCGCCAACCCGCATTGAGCAAGCGTGGTGATTAATGCTCAAACCTTCTCTGTGTGAAAAGAGGCTTTGCTCAGCAGTGGGCATTTATAGGCTGTTGATGATGATGATGATGAATTTAACCAGTAAGAGTTTCGAACACTCTCTCTTGCCTTATCCAGGGCGGGAGGAGACATTCAATGATACTCAACAAAGTAAGTAATTTCAACTTCTCTTCTTACCTCTCTGTAGCTACCTGACGAGCCCGGACAACCGCCACGCGCTGCCTCTATTCACGTCGCTGGTGAACACGGTGTGTTCCTACGACCCGGTGGGACTCGGCCTGCCGTACAACCATCTACTCTTCGCCGACACACTCGAGCCGCTCGTTGAAGTAATTCATTCTCTTTATTTTACTTTTAGTAGTCAAAGACATCAGTTTGTCAGTCATTTGGTAAAATTAATGATATGATGAAATGAAAAGCGACAGCCCACCATGTTATTAGAGAATAGCCTATTAGGCTAGGATAGGCTATTTGACGTTAGCCTGGTCGGAGAATCCTTCCGCTCGGCACTTCAGAGGACCCGTGAGATTCCTTAGATGACCAGGGATTCTAAAAGATTCGAACACAAGGATCAGCGCATCCTGTTCCCAAAATTGGGAAATGGGTTTCCAAACTTCATTGCCATATCCAGCCACCTTCTAGCCTAAAATAATGTATTTAGTAAATAAATAAACTTATTACAGGTAGCTCTTCAAGTGCTGATTGTTACTCTGGACCATGACACGAGCAACGCAGTCAATGAGGAGTCGGACGAGGTATATTTGTAGATACACATAAATAACTTAAATAACATACACATAAAACGAAAGCTACATAAATTTTTAGGTCTATTCTGATTTTACCAAAGTAAAAACAAAATAAAAATATCCTTAATTATGCTTATCGGTATATGAGAATGATGTAAAATAATAACTTCAACTTTAAAGTTTATATCTATATATATATATAAAAGAAAGTTGTGTTAGTTACACCACTTATAACTCAAGAACGGCAGAATAGATTTGGCTGAAAATTTGTAGGGAGGTAGCTTAGAGCTAGGAGACCGACATAGGATACTTTTAAGCCAATACTTTTTTTTTACTTTTTACCGAAAATCACGAACTGGGACGGGAAAAAATGGGATTACGCGTACGAAGTCGCGGGCAGAAGCTAGTTGTGTAAAAGATCATAATTTTTTATTCAAATCAAATCAAATCAAATATCTTTATTGCTGAACACAGTACATTTAGATGCATTTCAAGATGTTAGATGAATGCGCAGTTCATCATGTTCCACCAATCAAGGCATGCAATTATTAATAATGCATGCAAATATTATTCAATTCATCTTGTTACATTTTGAACCAATTTCTAACAATAGACTTACAACATCACTATTTCCAGACGCTCCCAGACAATCTGTTCATCAACTACTTATCCCGCATCCACCGCGATGAAGACTTCCAGTTCATCCTGCGAGGTGTGACGAGGCTTCTGAACAACCCATTAGCACAGACATATCTACCCAACTCCGCGAAGAAGGTCAACTTACACCAGGAACTGTTGGTGCTGTTCTGGAAGATGTGCGACTATAATAAGGTTGGTTTACGTAATGCATTTATAACATAACATCACGCCTTTTATCCCCTAAGGGGTTGGCAAAGATGCATATTATGTTACTTAATGGCACTGTACAATGTAATGATATTACTTTGTTATTGTTTCAGAAATTCATGTACTACGTGCTGAAGAGTAGTGACGTGCTAGAAGTATTGGTGCCCATACTGTACCATCTCAACGACTCACGCGCAGACCAATGTAAGCAATTATTTCTTTTTTCTTTTCTTTCTTTTTAAAAATCGTTGTCCCACACTGGGATTTTCTCCTGTGTCGTGGGTGCATTTACAAACATACAAGTTCACAAACACATGACACCCAGACCCGGAACAACAACTTGTGGATCACACAAAGAGTTGTTCTGTCTAGGAATCAACCCGTGACACGTTGCGCGCTAGCCAGTCGACAGTGCAGTCAATTAGTGTTTTATACTCGTCCTCTTAATTAAGTATTATTTGACAGTAAGGTAACCGTTCTACTAAAGTTCATGTAGATTTGGCGAACAATTTTATCTTTAACTGTCCTTTGGGGAACACCTTACAAGACAATGTTATTATTATAAAAATAAAAATTGTTATTGAACTGCTTAGTGATCTATTAAAAGGAATCGCGTATTTGCCGAAGAGTTGTAATATAGTAAATTATTTTTGACTAGCCACCCGCCCCGGCTTCGCATGGGTGCAATATGTATTATACATATAAAACTTCCTTAAAAATCTATTACAAAAAACCGCATTAAAATCCTTTGCGTAGTTTTAAAGATTTGGACCTACGGTATCCCACTCTGGGGTCCGCCAGCAAGAGCAATATAATGTGTCTACAACGAGTACAAAATAACATCCTACGAACGACAGATACAAGAAAAAGTATGCGGAACGCCTAGCTGTTCATCCCAATGACCTGGCAATTCAACTCTTATATCCTTCAGCCTTGGAGAAAAGACAAAAGAGGATGTGTTCTAAAAAGGCAGATGAGGCGATGGCCTCGTCGTCTTCCAATCAAGATTCTATTCAACTCATCTACTTATAGTCTTGCGACTGATTGCCGATCATAAGCAATAAAAAAAAAATTTAAAGACCTAAGCAAGTATACATAGGGACAGACAGACGGTGGATAGCGACTTTGTTTTATACTATGTAGGGATGTCTCTGAAGTTGTCTTTAATAGTTCCTCTCCCCAGCTCGCGTGGGCCTCATGCACATCGGCGTGTTCATCCTCCTGCTCCTGTCGGGCGAGCGCAACCTGGGCGTGCGCCTCAACAAGCCCTACACGGCCACCGTGCCCATGGACATCCCGGTCTTCACGGGCTCCCACGCAGACCTACTGGTCGTTGTCTTCCACAAGATCATCACCACGGGACACCAGAGGCTGCAGCCACTGTTTGATTGCTTGCTTACTATACTTGTTAATGGTGAGTCTTATAGTCCGTTTGTTTCTCCCGCTTCATGGGATAGGAGGCTAAAGGATCAGATAATATAAACGATTAGGACCGCCCATGGACACTCGCAACGCCAAAGAAGTGACAAGTGCAATCGGCGAAGCGTCACCTATTTATGGTAGATGTTCCGACCACTCGCACGAAGTGCTTGCATCAAGCTTCCTTGTGTGTACTGCTGAGGAATAGAATTCCTTGCCAGAGTCTGTATTTCTTAAGAATTTACATTTTAAGAAAATGTGTGCTCTTTTCTTAATGTTTGAAGATCTTTAGCTCTTTACAAATGAAAATGAACCATTCAGAAACTTACAGAAATATACACCACAAAAAAAACTAAACTATTAGTTGGTTTTATTGTCTATTAATTATAGTACAGTTTATTTATTGCATACCTAATTGGATCCTAACAGATCTAACTCAACATGATTTAATCAGTAATATTACTACTTACCATTGTCCGTTTGTCCAGTATCTCCATACCTGAAGACGCTATCAATGGTAGCGTCCACCAAGTTGCTACATCTACTGGAAGCGTTCAGTACTCCGTGGTTCCTGTTCTCGCAGCCTCACCACCATCACCTCGTGTTCTTCCTGCTGGAGATGTTCAATAACATGATACAGTACCAGTTTGATGGTGAGTCATACTTGTATATTTAGTATTATTGACAATGACACGTTTAGTGTGTAATTTATTGATAGAAGTGATTTAAATAAGATTTACACTTATCTATAAACAAAGTCTAAATCTCATCATTAAATTAATTTTGGTAATTAAGGAGGAATGATACGACATTTGACGCAGAAAAATATGACATGCATGACATGAGTGCTCTGAGGAATTGTTTGACTTGATACCTGCCGCATCTTTTCGCCATCGACCCTCACGACAGCATATGCATCCCCATCATATAGATGGTTGGCAGGCCACAACTGTGTGCTTCTCACGTAGATTTCTGCCTCGCACAGCTAAGTTGTGGAATGATTTATTTATTTATTATTTTTTAACACTTTAATGCACACAAAATAAGGTACATAAGGCGGACTTAATGCCACATATGGCATGCATATGCTGTCGTGAGGGTCGATGGCGAAAAAAATAATAATAAATACTGTATAACATACATACTGTATAAAAATATATAATAAACACAAAAAATGATCTGTCGTCGGCGGTATTTCCGAATAGACCGTATTCCTTTCTAAAACGCCGGCAACGCACTTGTAACACCCCTGGTGTTCCAGGTGTCCATGGGCGATGCCGATTGCTTACCATCAAGTGACCCGTCTGCTCGTTTACCGGTCGTCTACTCGTATTCCATAAAAAAATATTTCGAAAATATTATTGATTTTAAATAATTGTCATCATTGACTGCCTCATTGGCCGAGTGGTCGCAAGTGCGACTGCCGGGCAAGGGGTCTCGGGTTCGATTCCCGGGTCGGGCAAAGTATTACTGAGTTTGTAAAAACCTCAGCAGTAGCACGGAGTCTGGAAATGTGCCCGGTATATGGCAACAGGCTCACCCCCTCTTACATGGGACTGATAACATAAATAGTGAAAAGTGGGCGTACAGTGTGGCATTAAGTGCCGTAATGTGCACCTCTGCCTACCCCTTCGGGGATAAAAGGCGTGATGTTATGTTATGTTATGTGTTCATCATCATTCGTCATCCCTATATATATCCTACGTTTATTGATGAATATTTCAAACAGTAGTTTTAAAGACTTGTCTTAACATTGAAAGTGTTGCTTATTGTCCAGGTAACTCGAACCTGGTGTACACAATAATCCGCAAGCGCGGCGTGTTCCACAACCTCGCCAACCTCCCGCACGAACACTCCGCCATCGCGCGCTCGCTCGCCGCCGGACGCGCCCGGGGACCGCTGCACAAGGCACTGCCCAGGTATACTGCCACATACATACTGGACACCATACATTATGGGTAGACGTGCTCCGAAGGCCACATAATTGCTTACCATCAGGCGAGATAGTGGCCAAACGTCGGCCCATCACATATAAAAAAAGAATTCGACCGAAAAGACTGAAAATGTAGCCAAAGTCTACGACAATGTAATCGCACTCACAACTATTCGACTAATAAAAGATCAAGTAAGTAACATACGCCCGAATACTGAAAGGCTGCGCATTTTTAAACTGTATTTTAATATCGTGCCATCTCTGTCATTTTATGAAAAAATTGTAGTGACATAGAGTATGTAAAAATGAGTAGCGTTTGAGTATTTAGACAATACCTACTCAAATATTTATTGATGTTAGATCTTTTAGAACTACTATTTTTACATCACAATAGAACCCACCGCAACTGAGACATGGTCGGCAAAGGATTTTGATACAGACTCCCGACAAGTATCATCTTATACAATAAACAATTCAAATAGTTTCCACTTCAAAATGCCAGAATCTGTTTATTGACGAAAAATAAACTCTATAAACCAACATCACACCTTCTTTCCGTTAACAAAATCCAACCTTCTATCCATTAAAATAAGGATTATTATTGATTCACCCAGCCAGCAGCCCGACCAAACACCACTTCAACAAGAGGGAAATATTTTACCGAATGGAACTAGCAGGAACAAAAGGAAGACAGGCGAAAGGCTGCGGTATTTACTATACGCGCATGCGCATCGCTAGCTAAATAATAATAATTATAACTTTTAAAGCACTCACACAAACATACTCACACTTTATTATGAAGCTAGGCAGAAAGTTAAATGTCGAGCTCATGATGTAAACTGCTTTTTGTGTCCGGTATATTTGAATCTTTACTCGTCACTGAATCTAATAGAAAACTACTCAATCGAAAGCTCTAATGTTTGATAGATATTTATTGCTAAACTTTTAATTTCAAAAAAGTACATGTTAGAGAAAATTATTATGAAATCTCTTTCTTAAGTAATACTGAAATAACTAAGTATTATTACTAGTTCAAGACATTATTTGTCTCTAAATCACTACCTCTGGTGACAATAACCTCTGTATGTTAATTTTTTTACTCAATATTAGCAATAATAGGATTTGTCAGACTAGCCAGGCGTTCACTATTACTGCTACTATCGTCTTCCATTACTCACAACATAACAATGTGTGCGTCCTCACTGATCAACATTCACAGAGGTAGTACGAGTTTAATTTACGTTTAAAGTATTCGAAACGAGTACGCGTTCGGCGCTCTGATTGGCCGGCACCAATGAAGCAACCAATCAGAGCGCCGAACGCGTACTCGTTCATCATCAATCATCAACAGTCTATAAATGCCCACTGCTGATCAAAGCCTCTTCTCACACGGAGAAGGTTTGACCATTAATCACCACGCTTGCTCAATGCGGGTTGGCGATTACAGACTTATAATTATTAGAAATTATAAGCCCAGGTTTCCTCACGATGTTTTCCTTTACCGTTTGTCAGTGGTGACTAGATAATCTTAGAAAGTACATATAACTAGGAAAAAGTCACATTGGTACTTGCCGTACCCATACCCTCATACATGAGAAGCGGGCGTGTTAAACCTCCGGGCCACCACGACACGCGTACTCGTTACAATTACTTTAAACGTAAAACTAGTACTAAGGCCTTTGATAATGCTGATTACTTCATCTATACGTCCTAACCGTCTCTCGATGTATTAACCTTCAATCTACTTTGAATTTGCAAAAATCAAACTCACAGTCACTAAAAAAACTTTAACATTTTGATATAGCTACTTAACATTTACACAATTACATTCTGAAATTAATAAAGCTAAAACAAACAGAATCATCTCAAAGAATATGATTGTATAATTCAATTCCAGAATTATATTAACGCATTCTATTAGAGGAGACCGCGGTTGGTTGTCTAACTGGATATGTAGTTGTTGAGGCAGCCATATATTGTCGCGCGCCTCAAAGAGCCATCAGACCACCACGGATGGGGCCCAACAGGCTGATGCCGATTCGGAGTCGCGGAGAACCTAACGGGTTACCGGGGCTCCGGCTCGAAGTGCAGGAGAAGGAACGGAGTGGTTTTTATTCAGTTTCAGTAAGAGTCTGACACTCCCTTCCGCCTTACCCAGGCGGGAGCAGTCATTCGATGATATGCTGCCCTTAAAAAAAAGCCATATATTGTGATCGGTTCATCGATCGGTGGTGAAGAATCACGAAAGTATCACCGCTCTTCCGACGTCGATTCTTTGATTCCGATCAATGTTCATATCGTTCATCCACAAGGTGGACAGATGGCCATCAGGTCATCTTTATCAAAAAGTCACAGAAAGTTGCTCCAACCAGCTGATTTAGGTCACTTCCATCTGGCCAATTTCGAAGTCATTGTATATATGTCTTGCGGTGGACGCCTTGTGGCTGATATAGTTATGCTTATGACCTCTGACAACCAACCTTTGTCTCTTCTATGCATGAATTCTGCCACTATCTACCCTTGCTATGTTACAATTGGTGTAATACTATGTCTATAGGTCTCGCAGCGCTGAGTCTGTGGCCGAGACCCCGATGGAAGGGTCCCGACCCGCCCAGCCAGCGGAGCCCGGCACGCTCAATCCTACACTCGCTGAGACACCTGGTGAGTATTGAATTATAACTTTGCTTAGTATAAGAAAAAATGTGTGTCCTTTCGTCCCTGTGTTGTTAAGGTTGTTTTTTAAAATACAATACTTATATTGTATTTCACAAGCTTTTTTAAACTGTCAAACACCAAGCGGTCACCGGACCGCAACCTATTGTTCTTTAATTGTGTCTATAAATTCGGTACTCGACGAGTTAATACTTCTGTTTTACTTATAGTGGTGAGGTATCACTAACTTTGTTTGTTGGATTCATAAGCTTTTGTAAAATGACCAAAAATAATTCTGTACGATGAATTTTAGTTGCCTTACTAATGAATGACTCATCTAACTATAAAATTCCACAGTCAAAAATGTTAATAACGTTTTTATGATAAAGTCTTTATATTCATTACAATAAAACCCTTTTTTCACTAGCCACAATTGTATTTTCTTCACACAGCAATCAGCACAATGACAGAGCGTGAGTCAGCTCACCCGCCGCCGCAGCGTCTAGAAGTTGACGCGATGGAGTCGTCCGACGCGACCGTCATATCCGATACTACCGACACGGCCGTCACTCCTCACGACGGAGACGCCAGGGAGCCCCGGGACAGGCTGCTGCCGCACCGGGCCGGACCTGATGGACAGGACAGACCTGATGAAGCTGATGTTGATGAGGATGGGGACAAACGGACTGTGGCACATGTAAGTAGTTTCGTTCTTTAATTCCATCGTATGAATAATATATTTTTGACTGGGTTTAAGTCAGATAGTCATTTATAGGCCGTAATTATTGTATTGTATGTACAAATAAATAATCATAATAATGTTCCTTAAAAAGAAAATGTATTGTATTAATAGATTTCATGCTATCTGAAATTTCGTTTACTTTTTATATAACAAACCATGTAAAAATATTCCATTAAAGTCGATTAGAAATCGACTTTAATGGAATATTTTTCCATACATCACACCATATTGTTAATTTTTGCGCAATCAATAGACATTTATGCGCAATATAAGCGCAAGTCCCTAATAAACCTCTGCTTTATCACCATGACAGAGGAACAGTCTACAAGTGGGCAGTGGAGGTCGTCCCCCCCAGGAGGGAGGGTCGTGGCGTCCGTCAGCGGAGTGGGTATCATCCTGGCGCGGCAAGTTACCGCTGCAGACCATCATGAGACTGTTGCAGGTGCTCGTACCACAGGTCGAGAAGATCTGCATTGACAAGTACGTGCTATTTGTTGTATTTAACAAAAACTATTCTCCCTGTGTTTATATCGTGTCGTAGTGAAATGTATGTTCGTATCTCTTTTTGAAAGATAGTTTCGCTATACAATGGATAGTGAAGATTTCAAGAAAAGTTTATTTCATTTAACAATCCAAAAATGCAACCATGTAAAAGTTACCTTTATAATTTGTTCACATTAAATCTTCGTTTTTGTGCAGAAGTTCTGTCTCTAATGTTATCGTATGCAATCGTATAAGCAGACACCTTATTTTAACAATCAACACATCAATTGTATTTTTTCTCTCAGGGGTTTGACAGACGAGTCAGAGATCCTCCGGTTCCTACAGCACGGTACCCTGGTGGGTCTCCTACCAGTGCCGCACCCCATCCTCATCCGCAAGTACCAGGCCAACGCAGGCACTGCTGCATGGTTCCGGACGTATTTGTGGGGTGTCATCTATATACGGTGAGTTTTTTATAAAAATCTATCACTATCATTATCTAGAAGGAAAATGTCCACTACTTACCTTTTAAGTTGGTAATCATCCACTATTCATCATTCATTCAGCAAATGATTGTCAACCAAGGGTCCTATTGAACTTCTGGATCATTAGACTAGAAAAGGGATAACTTTACCTGAACTGACTACATAGAGGTACGAGGTGAAAACGAGGAGTATTCAAAGAATCATTTTTTAACCAACGACTGCAAAAGGTTTTCTATTTATTTATTTTTTACTAGGTTTTACCCGCGGCTTCGCTCGCGTCACAAAAGGATAAAAAGTAGCCTATGTGACATATACCAATACATACAGCGCCATCTATACCAATACTTTTGTTTTCCCTCGGGAATATCAAATTTTTTCGAGATAAAAAGTACCCTATCATTTAATCCAGATTACTAACTTTACGTCTGCAAAAATTCAATGCAATCGGTTTAGTAGTTACGGCGTGAAGTCGGAACAAACAAACAAACAAACTCACTTTCCGATTTATAATATTAGTAAGGATTCTTCGTAAAAGCTTTGAAACCGACTAAAAGAACTCAGTTTCTTAATTGTGCAGAAATATTTTACCTCCATTCTATGTACCACCACCCAAGTACATGAAAACATTGATTGTGGATTAATATAATATCAATATTATTCTATCCCCAGTAACGTGGACCCGCCGATATGGTACGACACAGACGTGAAGCTCTTCGAGATACAGCGTGTGTAATCAAATCACGGACTTTACTGACTTAGCTAACTTACATAGAAACACGAGTTGATCTCTATCGCTATACCGGCTCGTAATGGCCGCTCGTAATTATATAGTTAATGCATTGATGATACAATGGTATTGTAACTTAAAATCTAAAAAAAATACTGAATTAAGAAAGTATTGGTTTGTACGACGTTTTAGTAATCAATTGTGCAATAGGGTAGACGACTAATTTTTATTTTAATGTCCGTCTGGTAGCAGGGCCGCGCCGACCCCCGGCAGCGCCTGTGTGCGGAATCGATGGAGCGCCTCTTTTTTACCGACTTCAAAAAAGCAGGAGGTGCTATGTTCGGCTGATTGATTTTTTTTGTTTGTTTGCACATTACTCCGCCATTTGTACACCGATTTCCAAAAATCTTATTTTGTTTAAAAGGGTATACTCTCGAAATGGTCCCATTGCCATGAGCTCAGAATCTGATGATGGGATCCTAGGGAAACCGAGAGGAACCGAGGAGAACTTTCGAAAATTTTAGGGGCGAGTAATGAGTCTATTATGTTTTTCAATTACGATTTTTAAACACTACAATTTGATAACGGTCTGGAGTCGACCTGATGATGGAGCCGACAGACAATCGAGAGAACTCCTCAGCTGTTTTTATTAACTACCCTATGCTTGGGCTTGATTAATTTAGTACAAACACAAGGTAGTTAATATAAACCGCTGAGGAGTTCCCTCGACTGCCTGTCGGCTCCATCATCAGGTCAAATCCAGACCCTTATCAAATTGTAGTGTTTAAAAATCGTAATTGAAAAACAAAATAGACGCAGTACTCGCCCATAGAATTTTCAAAAGTTCCCCTTGGTTTCCCTTGGGTCCCATCATCAGATCCTGACCTCATGGAAATGGGACCATCTCGGGAGTATACCCTTTCAAACAAAACAAGAATTTTCGAAATCGGTTCACATATGGCGGAGTACTGAAAAAAAAAACAATCAGCCGAACATACGTACCTCCTCCTTTTTTTAAAGTCAGTAAAAAGTTCAATGCGCACCTTACACACACTTTCAATCAAATGATTGTTCAATTGTTTTGTTTTAGCTTGACTCTCTCGTTCGTTAAAATCGGGGAATCCCTGTGACCCTACTCCTATAGCCTCGCACGCATCGCATCGGGTTGCGTTCACAAACTCACTCATACTTACTCATACAAAGTCGGCGCCTTTATGATTCAATATAACTAGTAGGTACCTACTTTATCTGTGGTTCAAAAGATCTGCCGCCGTTTTAACGTTGATCTTGTAACTCGTAAGTAAGCAATGTAAACTAAAACCCTAAGTGTAAAATGAAACCATAAACGTGATTAATAATAAACATAAATATTGAGAGACTTGTTTAATAAGCGTAATATAAGTTTTGTTGTATACAATGCCTATGTTGCGCCTATTGTACCTACTTACTTATCGATACCAAAAATATAATAATTAAGGTAACAAAAATAATTCAAGTAGAGGTGGTGGCGCGACACGGCGCCCCTATTGTCTTGGCGCCTGTGTGCGCCGCACACTTCGCACACAGGGGCGGCGCGGCCCTGTCTGGTAGATTATTTAAAAACATTAGTCACGTATTTTTTATTTTCTCACAGAAACGAATAGTTTCGAAGATATGTTGATTTGAAATGTCGCGTGACGTCACTTCTCAGTACATTTTATACTAAGAAATGACGTTTTAGCCCCCACTCCTTAACTTTGATTCGTTTTATCTAAGTATTGTTTTATTATACGACAAAATAAAAAAATACGTGTCTAATATTTTTTCATTACCTAACTTACGGACTAATTATATTTTTAATTTTCATACCCTGTCATCACCCCATTGTTTTTGCGTCTATGTAAAATTCTATGGAGTATTTTGAGTTATAATACTGTTGTTATATTAATGGGATTAGTTGATTCTATTGTACATAACTTCAAAACTAGAATACTGCTGCCCTAACAGGTCATGTAGACGTTTTGTGATTGGTAATATCAGTTTTAAAACGGTTGCTTTGTAAGTATATAATGAGTTTGTGTACAATAGAATCAGTACCTAAACATATTTTATTCAATTAATTATTACTATTTAATTTACTAAATGGTAGGTAAATGAAATTCCCTTTTCTTTTATACGTAAAATATTATAATTATGTTTAGAAACTTGAGCCTTATGGCAAGACTAAATGATATGGCTTCTTTTAATTGAAAGATTATTCGAATATACTTAATACTTAATGAAATGATTTAATTGGTAAATAAAAACTAATGTTATACTATATTGGCACCCAATCTTCCAGTATTTATTTAATTTAATATTTATTTTTATTGCAATTAATAATTAAATAGCGCCCATAATTATTGACAAGATGGCGTAACGATAACTATAGTCAATTGTAATAATTTCAAATGTAACTGACCATGTCTTATGAACGCTTAACGTGTATAAATAATAATACTTATATTTTGGTGTTTTACCTATAAAGTTGCCGTTAAGACCTACTGAATGCATGCAACATACGAATGATAGGCGGCCTATAATTGTCACTTCGTAGGCGGTTGTCGTTGTTTCTAAGCAAGGTGCAAATATTTGTCTTTTGTAGGCCGCCTATTGTCATTTACAGGTTGCATCAAATAAGCGTCGTGAACAGTGGACCATAGTCTTTGTTAAACGTCAATTTTAAAATGTTAACCTAAAGCTGACGGCTAGTCATAATTTTAAAACAATATAATCTTCTATGAATTTATCTACTTATGAATGTGACTTTAGTTTTAATAGTATGTGTTTTGTGTTCAGATTACTTTACATGCAATATGACAAATATTAATATGAAGTTTTTATTATCTAGGCAACTATAAAAATGCTAATACTACATTTTAAATCGAGAAGTGTCAGACGTTACTCAATTAGTGTAACAATATTGTTTTTTAAGCAAAAATAGTCTATATCGTCCATTGTTCCTTATATGGTGGACATTACACCAATTCGCACGAAGCGTTTCGCAATTATCCTTGTGCGAATCGCTAAGGAATTTTTTGCCAGAACCTGTGTTTCCCAACAAATACAACTTGGGTATCTTCAAATACAGGTTGCTCATAACGACGGCCACATCATCTCGCGACGCGAGCCACACCAGGCGAGATGGTGGTCAAACGTCGACCTACCAAGTATAAAAAAATATAATGGCAAATGGCTAATCACTTTTTAGCTAGATATCTACAGACTGCGTCACGTTATTTAAAGCAAAAGTTGCGTAGTTGCGCAAAACTTAGCGCAAAACAGAAGATTTGGGCAAACTGTAGACACATTAAAGATTGATAGAATTTGTTGATGTTTATTGATATTTGACATGGCCATTTGGTTTGTTTCGATAATATTCTTATTTCAATTAAATCGAATATAACAAAGTGATAATGGATTTTACAAAAATATTGAATGAATTGTTTTTTTTAAATTATGTATTATTTTATATTATGACAAATTAACGAGGCTTATGACATATTTAATGATGTACATACATTCCATGTGATGGTTTTATTTTATGATTATATTATTGAATTCAATTTTATTATATTAAAATGTAATATAGTTTATGAATTTATCACCAAAATGTAATATTTGTGTTATGGCCGGTCCACACGACGGAAATATTATAAAGTACATAATTTAGGCTGAGTATAGAGTGTATGATTGTCTATGCCTTACCAAAGCAGTGTCGTGTGAACGAGGCTTTATGTCGTGTTTCGTGCACTGTCACCGTTTGTTTGTGTAAATTAATTGGGCCTTAGTGGAGCACTGTAATGAGATGCTTTATGAACAAATAATGTAACTTGAATATTCTATTGTCAGAATTTTAATAGTGAGGTAATGTGATGGGAGGAATGTAAGGGCGAGTCCACATCTGGCGAATGCGCAGCCGCTCGCGAGCTGCGCACGTACATTTAAAATTATTATTGCATTGCCATTGCCGAGACTGCACGCGCGCAGCTCGCGAGCGGCTCGCAAGCTGCGCATTCGCCAGCTGTGGACGCACCCTAAAAGGATTATTTGAGTAAAAAATATTTCAAGCTCAAGCAATTCTTTTAACTTTAATTTAATTATTGCAGTTCCACTAACAAAGTTACATTTTATTTTATACACCATTTTAATGATGACTTTTTAGACTTTCTGAACTTTATAAATTAATGTATGTTAACTTTCTTTCCACTGCGGCCCGCGTCTAGTGTATCTTGTACTTTTAATAATTTATTTGACACAATCACCGTACTTAACGTTATTATGTATAAATAGAGAATATATTATAATGTGAGCATATAACTTCAATTCTATTATTCCTTTCACTTTAGTGAGGTGGAAGGTTCCATTCCCGATATGGTTAAGGGGGGAAAATCATCGAATGATTTCTCTCACTTGGGTGATGCGGGAAGGAGTGTCCGTCTCTGACTAAAAACCACCCCGTTCCTACTCCTGCTCTTTGAGCCGGAGCCCCGGTAACCGTTTATGTTCTCCGCCCGATTCCGCCTCATCCCCGTTGCCCGGAGTGAATCCCAATATGGGTAGCAGCTTAATCCATTCGAAAATCCTCTTACTAACTCCTTGCGCCAAATTGTTATCGTATAATACTATCAATAATATTATGTTAGGTATATTAAAAACGCCCAAGTATACCCAAATAACTCTTTTGAACCTGTTGCATTTACATTAGATGTAAGGAGAACATAAACTACATAGAAAATTGACGCGGGTTAAGCTGTAGGTAAAAACGAGTAGCTACTTAGCTAGTAATACAATAAAACAACAAAATCACAGATATACAATCTTTAATAACGAAGCGTCTGTTATAAAAGACGAACTGACCTCCTTTTCTATAAAAAGGATATTATTCGAATGTAAAATAATTAAACGCCAACAAAATATAACGTCCAACTAAATAACATCACATTTATTATGACTAACGAATGACTAGACTTACGTTATTACTCTTTATTATTATTATTTTAAGTTTATTTTTACGGTGATGTACTTCTTTATATCATTAAATTTAGAGCAATTTTAAGTTAATTTATAACCAGAATATAAATAATTTTATTGTACTATACAGCAATCATAAAAGATTTCAGTATACTCTAAATTATTCCGAAATTAATAGGTATTTTATAAGAGAACCAGAACTTCAAACGGTTACATTCCATTGTGCGTCGATACCTCAGTCAAATAGTTTCTGGCCTCCGTACAATTTAATATTGTAAGTAAACAATAACAAAATATACAAGAAGTACAACACCGCTATAATGTAATCAATTCACCACATTATGTTCTATAATACGTTCTGCTGATTTTTAACAAGTACGGGTTGCCAGATCTTTTATTTGAATTCAGCATTCTAATGTAAAAATGTATTAAAATGTGTCTGAACAGATCCTATTAAAAGTGCATGAAAATTTCCGAAAAACTACCAATCGTATATATTTTTTTAATCTGGCAACTCTGAAATTGCCGATTCTGGCAACCCTTATCAGCAGTTTTAAATTGGCAGTGCACTGAAGTGCTATTGAAATTGTAATGATTTTAAGTAGATGTCTAAACTTTACAACCAATCTGAAGTTAATGTTTTGGCAGGATTTGGTAAATTTTTAAACTATAGCCGTGGTCACGAGATTGGATGTAAATTTCATACACCTGTAGGCATTTACGTCAGCACATATAAATACAGACATACTAAACTATACTATACTAACATGTACAGAGTAAAATGGGGTTTAAGATTATCTCTCTATCGTTATATGGCATACAAAACTAGTTTCGAGACAATTCTAAAAATATCTTCAATATTTCTGCCGATTATTGAACACCGCATTTATTGTTATTTACATTTTAAAATCGACTTATGATTGGTAAGTCCTACCGTACGCTATATAATGAGTTAAGAGATCTATTACAGCAGAGAGCTTATTCCATCAGGCTTTGAAACATATAACATACATATACTTACGGCTTAAACATCGATATTTGGTCGTAAACCAAGTTTTTATGGAGAATTTTAAGATTGTTTCTTTAGCCTACCTTATGTCCTACGTCAGCGAAGTAAGCAAGGCTATATAGTTTGCTTCGCATACCCTTTTTTCATACCATTTTCATAACAACAATTATTATCTAAGGACCAACTTACATTTAAGAATGAATGTTAAAATTCCCCATAAAATGTTCAAAACGATATTTTAATTGGACACAGACTAAACTAAAATGTTTACTCTTACTTTCTAACAGGTGAACGAAGATAGAGATAGAAGATATTTAGGGACATCAAAAATAAATAGCTAACATTATAGGTTTTTAACACTGGCAAGACATGAATATTAAATACTGGGCTTTACAAAACACAGGTTGTTTGTTATTTTCAAAAATCATAAAGGAGTTTTAATTTTTAAATTCTTGTAGATTATTATTGAACAGTGCCAAAATTTAAAGAGAAGGAAGGAAGGAAGGAATGGGGAGGACATTGGAATCTTAGCAAAAGGTGGGAACTTCGAAAGGTGATCGTGAAGGTATTAAGATCATTTCAGTGATATTTTTGTAAGGTGATACTCGTGAGTCAGGATTATACGTAGTTTACATATAGACTAGGGTAAGGTTAGGGCCACTTTTACTCTAAAAACGCTTAACTTTCCGAGCATGTAAAAACACTGCACCTATAATATTCAACAATCCAAGCAATATTTGCTGAGCTAATGACAAAATTTGGCTTCATATTCATACAATAAAATAACGATGGAAGCCACATAAAATTGATATTCTTCATGATGCTTTATTGCCTGCCACTTTTGCGTCGAAATTGAGTTTATCACCAAAACATCACATTGTTTCCAAAAAGCTACAATAAACTGGCAACACCTTGAGACAAAAATTCAGTGTTGCCAATGTATAAGCAAAATGTATACCTTTTTAGTTCGATAAAAAGTTGGTATAAATAATTGGTGCTTTTTTAAACTATTGAGTTATAACCTTACCCTCGTGTGCAGTCTATATGATGAACTCCTGGCTCACGGGTGCCGCTAGCTAGCTGAGTGAGCTGTATGCAGGGGGCGGAGGGCTAGCGTCGCGGCCAGGCATCAGGACTGCGATCTTGTACGGGGGCGGCGCTTCAGGGGACTCGGTGACGGGCTGCGAGCGCTCGGAGGATTGTAGAAGGGTCGCCAGCGATATGTCGTCTGATGGTTCTGATGGTGGAGGCTGGAAAAAAAGAAAATGGATTGTTGTATCTGTATTTTTTTTATGTCATAAGCCGGTAAACGATCAGACGGATCACCTGATGGTAAGCAATCGGCGTCGCCCATGGACACCTGGAACACCAGAGGTGTTACAAGTGCGTTACCGGTCTTTTGGGGATTAGGAGTTTGAGGATCGGTGGGGATTAAGGAATTGGAAAGATTGGGGAAGGGGAGGGTAATTGGGCCTCCGGTAACCTCACTCACACGACGTAACACAACGCAAGCGTTGCTTCACGTCGGTTTTCTGTGAGGCCGTGGTATCACTCCGGTCGAGCCGGCCCATTTGTGCCGAAGCAAGCTGTATAGATTCGTTTTGGAATACGATGATGAATTTTTTGTGACAATCTCTTTGTCAATCGATGATAAATTTGTCTGCGATCTCCAAACGTTTCAAGGGAGTAAAACTTGACTATTACAACTCTCTGTTCTTTTAAACCCATTTTTTTTAAAAGGAGACCAGCAATGGACATGTTGTAACTGACGATGAGTAACTCGGCCGACGAGTGGTCGCTAGTGCAACGCGACGGCCGGGCAAGTATTACTAGATTTTTAAAAAAATCTCAGTAGTGGCACGGAGTCTGTAATTGTGCTCGGTATTTGGCAATAGGGTCACCCCCTATTACATGGGACTCATAACATAAATAGTGAAAAGTGGGTGTCACATTGTACAGTGGCATGAAGCCTTCGGGGATGTAGTGTGATGTAGGTCTCTACGTACGTGTCGGTCGCGCTGCGCCGTGGAGGAGACGCGGTCGGGCGGCAGCGGCGGCGGCGGGCGCGCGCGGCACAGCGACAGCGCGCAGCCCACGCCGCACACGCACGCCACGGCCGCGCACACCACGCTCGCCTCGCCGCCCGACCCCGCGCCGCCGCCCGACCGGATCACCTGCGCGGGAATTACCACTTGTATGTGCACCGCAATATCGTACATGGCTATCGTTAACTTAAAGGGCATGTATGTTTCTATAACTGCCCCCCAAATATTCTAAAATTGTAAATACCTATTTCTGATTGTAAACGCAACTGACATAAAAAAACTATAAATGTATTGGAAAATTATACGATAATGCTTTTAAGTAGGTTAGGGTAAACTTATACCTATAGTGGCAGCGAAAATTCTAGTGTACAGTTGTAGCCGCACCGCACGACTACATACCTACCAGTTACCAGTACCACCGAATACCTTTCCATATACCAGATACCTTCCACAATACCTTTACCAAAGTTATAGACTCACTTCGTTTAAAGAAACAAGAAACCAATTGTCTTGAAAAAGACAGTTTACGTTTTGACTCCGTTTTAAGAAACCAGAAACCAAGTGTCTTGAAAAAGACAGTTTTCGACTTTCCTGCATAGAAACGATAATCATCACTGCGGCAACAGCGTTATCACACCGTGCCGCGAGCGATCGCTTCGAAAGAAGCGGTTTGGTAAAGCAAGCAGCCAAGCAGCGCAAGCGGAGCCGGAGCCGGAGGCCGGAGTACTTGCATTCATCTTCATTCATCTGTAGGTAGTCTTCAGTCTTCACTCAACGCCGGCTCTCGGAGAAATGCGCGCGCTCGCGCCGCGCGGTCATACTTATACGGAAGGAACCGATAGTGCCGTGTGCAAAGCGGCGCCCCGCACCCCGCGCGCCCCGCGCACGCCGGCGCGCCGCTATTGGTCGAAACTATTACCTAACTATATCTGATTTTGTCTAGTTGTAAATATGTAAATAGAAATATAAGTAGCGTAGTTTGGCGAAATAAAATCATTCTTGTCAACACCTCTCATCGGAGTTTCACTACTACTAGAAGATAAGAAGAAACCTCCTCTAGGACACTAGGCTCTCCTACCTAGCTCCTAAACAGTCGTTATTTGTTTATTTAAATGTGCATAAACACATGTTTTAGCTTCAAACAAAACAGTAGTTATGTACGTGTAGCACGCCACAACATTATTTACAGCCGTGAGCAAGCAAGTCCATTAAACTTGTTCCGAAATCCACGGAATGTAAATATTTACAACACGGGCTGGTGATTCAGATCAACACTACACACCATTAGCTTTATAGTTAACATTAGTTGAAAAATAACACATTTAATAAGAAATAAATATAAAATTTGACTCACGCTCACCTGCCGATCAAAGTAGTACTTCGCCCCAGCCAGGAAGACAGTAGCCAGTGCGAAGGAGACCAGCATGCCGAACTTGAGGTGCGGGGCCATCATGGGCGAGTGGTGGAGCCCTAGGGCTGCGGTGCGCAGTAACGTGTCGGGGGTGACGGAGCGGGCGGCCGCGAGACTCGCGATGGTCGGCTGCGGAGGCTCGGCTGGTATCTCCACGTACAAGCTCGGCTCGTCATTCTGCCGCCGCGTCGCGTGGACAGCCGGCATCGGTGGAGGCCTAAAGGATAACAAGTCTTGTTGATTACAATGTGAAGTTATAGTTCTCCACGCCATAACAAACGTTGCGTGTAACACCCTCCAGCTAAGTAGAGTAAATCTATGAAAGACACCTTCTAGCTAAGTGGAGTGGATCTTCGAAAAGTAGTTGGCAATGGTTGGATGAACTAGTCGTGATATGAATCGGCCACATGTGACGACATGTCGTCCACTACTGATCGGAGGCCTTCACCAAGAGCTTCCAGACTAAGGTGCTGCAAGTTCTTCTATTGGTAATTCTTTGTAGACTTATAGCTAGGGCCAACATACCCGGCATGTCGGTGCGAGCGGTGCGGGCGGCGCGGCGGGCAGTCGACGGCGGCGAAGCGGTGCACGGGCGCCGCCATGCCCTTGCGGCCCGCGCCCGCGCCCCCGCTCGCACACACGCGGCCCCGCGCGCGCCCTGTACACAACCGACATAAACCTTCGTACTGTACGAAAACAACCCTTATTACTTACATTGATACAATTTAAAATAATAAACTGGATTTAACTAGCTTTTCCACACTTCAGTTTCCTTGCTTGTGTCTAAATAAAATATGTTTTTATTAACATACCAGCTGAAAGGGAAGATGGAACACGATGGCGGCCGGTGTAGGCACACTGGCTGCGTTTGTCTATCCAAAAATGCATCGGTACGCCTCGGTGCACGCTGTTGGAGGAATGTCAGTGGCCGTACGATGCCCTCAGTGGGTGGAACATCGGACCATTGTATGGAGCTGCTGCAAGTAATAATTCAGTTCATTCAGAAGAAGAGAATTTTTTTTTGAAGATAGGGCTTTTTACTAAAACCTTCTCCCAAGTGTAACAAACACTTTTATGAAAACCGCATCAAATCAGTTCAGGCAATCGCGAGATAAGCACAAACACATACACACATACAGGTTCTGATTGACCTGTATGTGGGTATGTATTTGCAGCCTGCTTTTTTCTTTTTGAAGTCAGTTAAAGAGATGGATAATGTGTTTTAATGTTCTTCTCAGGTAGATAATACCGGACTAGATAATATCAAGTATATAGACTGCAATATTCTGCAACCGAGCTCAGTGGCGTGCCATTGGAGAGGCTTATGTCCAGCAGTGGACGAAAGCAGGCTGTTGATGATGATGATGATGATGAGTCTGCAATAAAGCCCATCTGCATTAGATGTACGGCACTTAATGCCACTGTACAATGTACACCCACACACTCACTTTTCACTATTTATGTTATGAGTCACATGTAATAGGGGGTGAGCCTATATATCGGGCACTATTCCGGGCTCCATGTTCCTACTGAAAATGTCTGAAACCTATATTGCAGTCTATATTAAACTAATTATTTGGTACCTAATATTATTATTATCTCCCTTTCATAACAAGTAGTATATTTAACTTTCAATTCTATATTAAAACTTTATTTTTAAATATTGTTTAAAGTCCATTCGCATAGTAAATACAAATTAAGTTAAGCAGGGAAACCTATTATTAGCCTCACTAAACTGTAATATCTTTATTTTGTATTATATCATATGTATCGCTGTTGGTTTTCTAAATAAATAAATTATGAAATGCAGGAAACTTGCAAATTTTTACTTATTCAATCCATACACAATGTATTATCATTGTTCATTCAATTTAAGAATCCTAATATCTTGGGATATTGTTTTGATATAAATTGTTGAACAAAAACCTATCCATCTTATAAGTGTGAGGCTAGTAAACTAAATATTTCTAATGGTTACATTTTAACAGAAATTATTAAATTAAAATTGAAAATAATTAGGTACCTAGTTTGATATAGGTACAAATAAAATAGTGTTTATTATAACTATTGCAATACTCAGCTGTAATTTAGTTAAACACTATTTTAGTTATAAATATTGGTAGCAACCCTTTAACTTGCAGACAAAGGTCTGACCTGACCTGAAGTGACCTAAATTCCTATATGTCACTGTGTCACACCTACCATTACAAAGTTTATTTTTTTCTTAGATTTACAGACATTTTTTCCAATGAGTAATATTACGATATATTTATTTCTTTTATTGTGAATTCCTGATTATATCACCTTTATCTAAAAATATTTAAAAAATCGCGATATTCGCGAAATATTTGTCTAAAGGATTAACCCAATTTAATCAGGGGTGGCCGAAATTAATGTAAAAGTAAAACCATAGAAAAATAGCTTACCTTTCTATTTGTGTTTTGCACACAATTTATTATCGCCACAGGCTACGACCAGCTGAGAATTAATTATCTAATATTATACCTAATAATACACTCATTCATAACTATTTTCACTGTATATTACACGGACTAGGCAATATAAAACCTGCTCACTCATTAAAAAATATATAAACTATCTAAATACATAGCTAATACACTTATACATAAACCTAGGGAGTAATAATCTTAAAATATAATAAAATAAATCATCAATTCACTTCTGCACTTGACAGCCATTTGTGGGCGGGGTGCGCGCGTTTAGCAAAACAATCAGAACTACCAACCGCACAGTGTTTTTGCAATCAATACGGTGATACCTCCTATTTTATCAAATGAGTTGATAACAGTGTTGATAATTAATAGATACTGTAAGATTTTATGAAAATATTATGACATTAAATTAAATAAAAAGCAAAATCGACTTTATATAAATCTCTGAAAATCAGTACAAAAAGTAGCGATATGTATCTTTTAAGAACTGATTTGATCCATTTCCTAAAATAAAAATCCCAATTTCTAGTATTATGGTTACGTATATTGTAGGTATGTGTTTCACATTTCTCAATTTAAACAAATAATTTTGTACATTGCCTTGAATTTCCCTCTAAGATACAAGCAATTTCCGGAAACTTCTACATTATTCGCTTCGTTCGGAAATTACATTTCCATCAAACGTAATAATCAGTTTTTTTATAAAAAATGTTGTTCAATTATATCATTGACGTACTTTATTTCGTTTGGTAGTTTATTTGAGCATTTAAGTAGAATATACATACATTTTATTGTATCTTAACTTGAACAAGTAGGAACAAAGATTATGTGATATTTTGTGTGTTTTTGTACGATTCTTGAACGACCAAAGTATATAAATACCCCTCCTCCGCCACCGAACTGTCAAAAATAATCAAATCAACTGACTGGTCGACGTGAACGTGAAATAACAGCACTACACCTTTTTGGATTGTATTGTAGTTTTTGTTGTGATTCTGAATTAAGTGTGTGATTGCGCAAGTTTCTAATTTTTACATGCAAAGTTGTGTATTGTGATAAATCATAGTGGATTCAAGATTTTTGCCAGTGAATCGTGATTTTATGACGACAAAATGCTATCAAGACTGATTCATAATGAGAGGACTGCGAGGAATGCGAAGCCCTATTGTCAGTGCTGGAACCAGAACAGGCCTAGACTGTGGGAGAGCAGTGGAGGCTGTGCGTGTGGAGAGCATGCTGACAGTAAGTGTGAATGTACCAGACAAGTAAACACTAAATTGTAACTTACGATCACAATCATAACACGAATACTTGTTACCTTACGCACTCATATTCACTCATGTTTTTTAGCGAAACAACACATTCGAAATGTTAAAACCTTGAAATATTTGTCAACTGTGATATAATTTTATCTATATAGAGGCTATAAGCTCACGTTACTAACAAGACAACAGCTGTGCTAACAAAACAAACATCTAGTAGTACAGGTTAACCATAATCTAAACTTTCAATAATAAGGTAAAGAAATATTCTACAAGTTTTATGAGTCAATGTTTTGTTCAATATAGCCATAATTTTGCATACAGGCAGATTTTGTAAATATCCATGAAATGTTATGTAATGTATGTTTGAAATGTCCATGAAAAAGTCTGGTACCTCCAATACTGTACAAAATGATAATACTCTCATTCCTTATACATAGGGCTGATTTAAACTGTCAAACACTGCACGGTCACCAGTGACTGTAACCTATTGTTCTTTAATCGTGTCTATAATGATGGTACTCAAAGAGTTAAGTAACAGTGTATGCAGGGTGTAAACGGAACCCTCGTGAAATACGCCGACAGGTGATACTAAAAACTAAGATTCATTTTTATAAAAAGAGAGAATTAGACATTTTCTTTTATGTAATAATATTTTTAATCATCTGCTTAAGGCAATGAAAGTTGCATTAAAACATAAAAAATTGTAAAAAACTGTTTTAAAACCAATTTTTTTATTTAAAAATTAAAATTGTAGGAATTATTTTTTTTGTCCGCGTTTTTTGGAAGCTTTCTGTTTACAGTGTATTATTTACCATTCTGTATATCCTTTCACTTTTATGATATAATCAAGGAGTAAATCTAGAACCTGGTCCACATCAGTCACTTATTTGCTTTGTTAAATAATGCATGTCTTAAAAACTAAACAAAATCTTATTTCTATGCCTTTACATTCTTGGTTACATACATTTTTAGAAACTAAAATATAGTAAGTAACAGAAATTCAGTGTTTTTTTGTTTTTATACAATTATCGGAATATGTACCTTGTTGTTGCCATGTGAACAAATAAAAAGTTTCTTAGATAACTTAAAAAGTTAAAGTTCAAATGTTAATTGATTCTATATTGAATGATGCAAGTCTTGTTCATGATTACAGATACCATTAAATGTGGTTTACAACATTATTGGGTAAACACTTTTCTATCTTATGCTTCTAATAATAGAGTTCAAGTTTGTTTTGACTAGAAGTCGAAATAGTAGGAAAATACACTTTTAAATATAAATAAATGACACATTCTCTCTGGTAGTCATATTAATTATTTATTATTACACAATTTATCTTCTAAACTAAACAATGAAGGTTGAAAATAGCACATCCACTGTCTCTTACAGTCTAATTAGTCATTACAATTATTGTTAATTAGAAGAGTAGAAGAATAAGAATTTATTATAACATTGTAAATTATTAAGATAATATTTAACAAATATAGGAGTAACATTGTAACAAATATAGGAGTTTGGTGACCTTGGTAGAAGTTTATCAGGTCACGTAGAACCTTGAATTAATGATAGAATATGTTGCAATGAAGGTAATTACTAAATTAAATGTTAATTTCAAGCCTCTAATATGGCTTGAATATGACCCACTAGCATGGCTTGAATATTAGTCGAGTTTCTCGTCAATCAGTTCCTGAGTAATCGGAATACATCACTACATAGTATAAAACAAAGTCGCTATCCGCTGTCTGTCCCTATATGTATATGCTTAGATCTTTGAAACTACGCAACGGATTTTGATGCGGTTTTTTTTATTAGCTAGAGTGATTCTTAAGGAAGGTTTATATCTATGATATATGCATACTGCACCCGTGCGGAGCCGGGGCGGGTCGCTAGTAATAATTAATTTAGTATATCTCAGGAAAGTTATAGTTAAACAAAGTAATTCCTGCCAAAAACAGAGATAGGTGTTTATGTGGTAATAAATAATTACACTTCATTAAATATTGTTCTACTGGACTTCAGTTAACCAAACACAGATCTAGTTAAGTATAGGAAAAATTACATATTACAAAAGGCGTCTGAGTTACAGCCAATCCTTCAAATCATTCTAATTGTCATATCGATTTCACTGCCTTAGTTTTTGCAAAGAATTGTTATTAAATAAATTTCATGTTCCTAACTGTAATCTCTATTCCACTGACTGAGGCTTTAGTTCAGCAATGGACATAATCCGGCTGATGATGTTGATGGAACCTTATTTAACATTGTCTTTCAGTTAGTGAATGGAGATGGGAGATGCCAGAGAGTACAGGCACCAGTTGGGTGATGATGTGTCCGGATCAGAAGCAGGTGACCTTCCATCCGTTCTACAGTTCCGGCACCGCTGCAGTCAAGGGTGATACTCCGCTAGTCCGAGATTACCACTACTATTGGGAAATCAAGATGTTAACAGAGCCTTATGGAACTGATATTGTAAGTTTACACTTCTGCTTTTTTAGCAAATTTCTAGCCAGCTATAATGTGGCTGTACAGCATTAGGTTAATTTCACTCAGGCCGCATATCCTTTGTTAATATAAATATTATATATATTTGCAAATTACAATCTTATCTTGTATCTCTATGTCTGTCTACCTAGGATTTTACGCCTTTACAAATCCTAACCGGCAAATGATACAAGTGCTACTATGAGAAATCTCAATCCTCACATTTATGTTTGCACTAAATATCAAAGGTACAGTCAACACCTACAGTAAAAAGAAACAGTTTTTAGTCTTAAAGTAAAATTGCATCTTCAGTAAACATATTTTTGAAACAACTAGAGTTGAAACAAGCCTATATCCTAGTGTACCTACTTACATTTTTTATCTAAATTCACATGCTTACATACCATTTGTAATCATCCTAATAATTTTGAAAGCGAGCCAAGTGCGAAATAGTTAACTTTTCAAGAAATGAATACTAATTACCCCCAAAAACTATAATCATTTTCTAAAAGGCTAGCAACGCACCTGTGACTCCTCTGGTGTTGCAGGTGTACATGGGCAGCGCTGATCGCTTACCATCACGGTACTTACTCTTGAAACCAATCTCAATGTCAATGCAATTTCAATCCAATAATTATTCAATTTCAAAACTGTACAATCCTTATCGTAGCTGTTACAATAGCATTCAGAGTACGGAATATAAAGCGAAACTCAATACCATTTAGTATATTAAATATCCACGCAATACGGATGCAATGGGCGCTAGTGTCGCAATTCCAGAGTACGAAATTTCACAATACCAATGTCGATCGATCGGTATTGGATTCAAGAGTAAGCCGAGCAGGTGATCAATCTGCTCGTTTGCCTCCGATTCTGTATAAAAAAAGAAACGAAATACCTAGGTAATAGCTAACATTGTATGTAGTACGTATGTACAAGTACTAAGAACTAGGAGTAAATACGTGATTTTATTAACTACGTTTTAAATCAAGTAATATAACTTAATCGGTTTAAAAATTAGAAACAAAATAAGCTCTTTCTCCTATCAAACATTTTAACCATTAGACAAAACTTCTACACTTTTCCACTAAACATGAAGAACTGACCAACCAATACCTTCTTTCAGATGGTAGGCCTAGGTACAAACAAAGTCAACATGGCGGATTCTCTATTCACATTCACATCGTTTCTGGGCCGGAACGGGGAGTCCTACGGGCTGTCGTACACCGGTGCCCTACGACACAACGCCTCTGTCACCAGGGATAACGTAGGCTTCTGCAAAGGCAGCATCATAGGCGTCAAAGTGGACCTCTGGCAGGGGACTCTGGAGTTTTATATTAATAGAAAGTCCCAAGGTAAGTTTTTTAAAATTTTTATGGTATACCACACACCACTCAATCAACTATCACCCGAAGCTCACAATCCACAACTGGCATACAATCTACACCCACACACAATTCAGAACAACACACAAACAGTGTCTGTAGTCAAATAGTCAGCAAAGGAGGAAGAAGAAGATTTAAAATTCAGATTTAGTAGGGGGCTATTTATTTACTTATTTTATTCATCCATGATCCCCCCACTACAGGGCAAAGGCCTCCCTTCCGTCCTTCCACCCCTCTATAAGTGAAGCTTTTTGCGGCCAATCCTTGTCATATATGTCCAATCCGTCCCGCCATCTCCTTTTGGGCCTGCCGCGACGTCCATAGGCTCCACTCAGTAGTAAGTTTTGCACACCGCTCGTCGGACATGCGGCAGACATGACCAGCCCAGTTCCACTTCAAGGCTGCGGCTTTATGACATGAGCATCGAGTCTATTTTCACCGGGTTTATCTCGAGAAGGAGAGAACTCCACAATATTTACTAGCTACACTCGCGCAGTTTTACCCGCTCTACTCGGCCCCTTTTGATCATAGCGTGATATAGCCTATAGCCTTCCTCGATAATTGCACTATCCAACACAAAAATAATTATTCAAATCGGACCAGTAGTTTCGGAGATTGGCGCGTTCAAACAAAAATTTTAGTTTAACTTATTAGTAGTAATGGATTATTTATTTATTTACAATCATGAATCACCTATATTGTTGTAATACAGGATGTAGGACGTATCTCCACGTAGGTACTCATTAGAGTCTAGACATATTTTGTTTCGGTGTTTGTTCTCAATAAAGATGACAAATACCTATTGCATTATATCAAAGTTTCTTTTTTCGTTTATAGTAATGAACACTGTTAAAAAATATCAATTTCTGAGGCAACAAAAGCAAGAAAGAATCTTCTCACCAAATATTGTATTGCACAGTCAATGAATACGTTATGCTGTATTTTAATATGTAGCCACTATCTACTATTCGACCTAGTTTATTAATTCAAACAATGTTTTGTCTGACTCGGCCAAACGGGAATCAACAACATCGACAAGGTGGTTGACCCTTTATCCCATCTTATTATTCAAACAGTGTCCAAGAAAAAAGGTCCGAACAAAACATATGTCACTTTACGAACTTGATACGATTGTTTGTTTACTTTTTGTGCAGTTTATCAGTCGCGTGATCTTTACTGATAATACTTACTAATCGGTCCATGTACTCAGTAAGTCTGTAGGTCATGTTATCTTAAGATTTAAGATTAGGTATATAGGGTATGACTGCAACTTTGTTCGCCTTACCCAAATAATTCATCATCATCATCAACAGCCTATAAATGCCCACTGCTGAGCAAAGCCTCTTCTCACACGGAGAAGGTTAGAGCATTAATCACCACGCTTGCTCAATGCGGGTTGGCGATTTCAAACTTATAATTAGAAATTATAAGTCCAGGTTTCCTCACGATGTTTTTCCTTCACCGTTTGTCAGTGGTGTCTAAATAATCTTAGAAAGTACATATAACTCGGAAAAAGTCACATTGGTACTTGCCGTTGGTAGGTTTCGAACCCGCACCCTCATGCATGAGAAGTGGGCGTCTTAAACCTCCGGGCCACCACGACGAATAATTAATCACTTGCAACTTGTAAGTCACTTTAAACACAGATATTATACTTTAACATGTAGCGGGCGATAACTAGCATTTATATGTGAACCAACAAACTGTTTAGATACACAGTAATAGCAGTAAACAATGTTTCAAACGTTAGCCATGTATACTACTAAACTAACTAGGCAACTTTAAGCTAGTTAGCGATAGGAAACCTTGATAGGCACCTCATTAACCTATGGTATGCCGAACCGTAGATATACGCGAGAGACAATGTGTTTTCTACTGTCTCATATATATAAGAGGCAGATAAGAGGTGAATTTAATAGTCATTACCTACAGTCTGTATTAGGTAGGTCAGTGGTCTATTACCTATTTAATATGAATCTGGTTACCACCTTATGCGGTATTTTACGACTAATCAAATTCAACACTTTTATCGAAACGTCAAAAACGATATTGTCCCATGAATTTTGTACCAAAAACTAACTTATGACGTCATCATATTTTCGAGTCAAACAGCACACTTATTTCTGAAACAATTGCTAGAATAAATCGAAAACTAAGTATATCGTCAAATTTAAGAATGAAGTTGTAATTAATTTAAATATTTAATTGGACTGAAAAATCAAAATAATTTATTTTTGACCCATGAAAATACCCAATTGCTGCATAAAACTGCTGAAGGTAAATCATCCGCTAACGTACCTACGTTAGCATACCTGAGCGATAGTTCACTTAGCTTAAAGCTTAGTAGCTATACATTATTCTTTAACCATTTTATATTAAACCCATCAGTACTATTGTACTAAGTACAGTACTCCGCTGCGAGCAGTTTACCCTAGTAGCACTGGACCAGCCAAGACTGTTTTACCGACCCCACCTAATAGGGAAAGACCAAAAGAGTGCCGTCGAATCTCGATATCAGCTGTAGCAATAATCCTTATATGTGAATAGCATCTAACATAATCGTAGATATTTATCACGGCGACACTATCATTACGTTTATCTCCAGAGCTCGGGTTCACGTAACGACTGCGTGCAAATCCTACTAGGCTACTTTTTATTTCACGGTAATGCGGGAGAAGCTACTATGTAATAATATAACAAATTATAATGACAATATCTATCAAATTGGTTTGCCATTTTTGTTATTTAGAAACTCATTTCATTTTTCTTTTTATGTGTGTATCTGGTAATCTGATATAGTTAGATAATTAAATCTCCTCAAGTTGTCTCATACTTTAACATATCATAATATAAAACAGCAGTAATATTATTAAATATTTAAACCAATAATGTGTTGTCAGAAAAAACTTACCAAATTTTCTTTGCTGAGAGAAATTTTATATGACACTTTTCAAACACTTTTTAACCGACTTCAAAAAACGAAGGAGGTTCAGTTTGACCTGTATACATAATATGTATGTGTGTGCCCAATTATCTCGCGATTGGCTGAATCGATTTTGATGTAGTTTTCAGAAAAGTGTTTGATACATTTAGAAGAAGGTTTTAGTATATTAATAAACCGACCTCAAAAAAGGACTAGTGAAAGTCTATTATTTTTAAAGGTAGTTCATAATTTATATGGTTTAATTTCTTTGTTGTCCGTACGAACGTAACTGGTTAAGCTAATAATGTAACAGTTATCAGGCCGGCCTACGCATGCCACATGGGTACATGACCTCTACACATCTCCAAGTTAGTGCTATCAGCTGATAACGAGTGGTCAACCAGACTACAAACCCACTACAATATGTTCACACGATAACAAATGTTAAACATCTTATTTATTACTAACTAGTTTTTTCCCGCGACTTCGTACGCGTAATCCCGTTTTCTCCCGTTCCCGTAGGATTTTTTGTCTTAAGGTTCTTAGGACAGAATAAAGGTAGGCAGAGGGCACATTACGGCTCTTAATGCCACTGTACAATGTCACACCCACTTTTCACTATTATGAGACCTATGTAACAGGGGGTGAGCCCATTGCCATATACCGGGCACAATTCCAGACTCTGTACTATAACTGAGATTTTTTTAAAAACCCATTATGATTTTGTCTGACCCGGGAATCGAACCCGAGCGTGACCGCTAGCCCGGTAGTCGCACTTGCGACCACTCGGCCAACGAGGCAGACTTAAAAGAAAACTGAATTGTTTACTACTACATCCATATACCTGATGAATAATAAATGAATTTCTTATCAATCGATCACCTTGTTATTATTAGCATTGACCGATTGTATTATATTTTATAATTACAATATGTTTACTGTCTGACCAACTTGATAGCTGAAATAGTGTCAGTTGTAAAGTCTAAGTCGAATCTAGAGTAACGTCTTTGACCTGGTCTGGGTTTTATAGATTACTATGCTTAATTAGGTTACTATATTGTTGTTCTTGTATTCGCAAGTAGAGAATACTCGGTTTGTCATTAAACTTCTTTTTGGCTAACTACCGTCTTTTTTTTTGAGGGGGGAAATCATCCAATGTCTTCTCCCGCCGGGAGTGTCATACTCTTACTGACTAAAAAACCACCCTGTTCCTACTCCTGCTCTTCAATCGCGGCAACCCGTTAGGCCTTCCGCGGCTCCGTATCGGGCATCAGCCCTACTGGGCCCCATCTGTTGTGGTCTGATGGCTCTTTGAGGCGCGCGCGGAACGCCACTATAGAAACATTCAGTTTTACCGATACCTCTTTATTTAACGATTGGAGCTCGAAGACGCTTTCGTCAAGAAAACTTTAATTACTCGTATGATTTTCCGAAATCGTATGAAACATTATTGCCACCCCTCATACATTTCAATAGGATAGATGACTAATTTTTATTTTAATGTCCGTCTGGTAGATTATTTTAAAACATTACACACGTATGTTTTTTTTTTACAGAAACGAATACTTTTGGCGATATATTAATTTGAAATGTCGCGTGATGTCACTTCTATGTACATTTTCTACGTAGAAATGACGTTTTAGCCCTCACTCCTAAACTTTGATTCGTTATATCTAAGTATCATTTTATTATACAACAAAATAAAAAAATATGTGTCTAATATTTTTTCATTACCTAACTGACGGACTAATTGGATTTTTAATTTTATACCCTGTCATCATGCCTATTGTATGTATTATATATTTATAATTTACTAACAATCTCCTCACATTTTCAGGTATATCATTCTACAACCTCCGTCGGCATCAGGCTCTATACCCCATGATTTGCTCTACGGCGGCGCAGTCCTCAATGCGGCTGATTTACGCGGCGTCCTGGCAGGCCTCCCTGCTGGTGGACGCTGCCAAAATCCTGGCCGCATCAGTCAACGGAGAGAAGTCGCTGTTCCTACCTCCAGGGCTGAAGCATACGTTAAAGTCACAGTTCTGGTTGACACTGCCTAATCATAGTGAGTATGGACTTCTATTTTTTTTATTGGTTTGTGTATGACAACATGAAAGTGCCTAAATTTTTTAGGGTATGCGCATGCGCAAGTAAATGGTATATAACACATTCGGTTATTGTATGGACATAAGTATTAATACCTTACGGGATAAACCGATAAACGGAGAGACAGATCACCTGATGGTAAGCAATCGGTCCCGCCCATGGAGACCCGAAACACCAGAGGCGTTACAAGCGTGTTGTCGTCCTTTTTGGGACCGAGAATAAGGGAGAAGGGGAAGGGTAATGGGTAATTGGACCTACATTTCCTATCAGTACTCAAGTAGCAAAAAGTGGCCAAAAAGTCATGATTAGAAAACAAAATAAGTCCTTGCTATTTTAATTAACGATATGTAATAAACTGTATGTTATTTGTATCATACGTCAGATCATATCTGCATACTGCAACAATATCAGACTTATGAATTACGTAATATTATTATCTAGAATCTAGATCTTATCCTATTTAAGCTTGCAAGTATAAAAATCTACATACTTTGCCTACCTATAGTATTTTCCTTATTTATTTTATGGTACTTTGTATTTTATTTATTATTTATTTATTTATTTGACAAAAGTACAATTTTATGATTAACATGTTGTTCTTATAATTAAAGATCCTCGCCAAACATATCGTTTAACGGCGAGAAGCGCTCATTTCTTATTCTTACTAGCTAATTAAGTACTTTATATAACTTTAGTGACTGGAATTACCCTTTTATGGCAATAGGTTTAGACCTAGATAGGTCTAGTCACATAGAATCATAGAACTATATATAACAAGTTATAGGTAACTACCGATAATACGTGGGTAACGACTCACTATCAGTTCCGGAAATAATACCATGATACAAAGCTGCATTAATTACAGAAAAGTACTATAATATTGGGTACTTGTAGTGTTAATTAATGCGCAAATGCATTTATGCGTTATCCGTATTAGCTGTGGCAGTTTTAAAAATAATTTAATGATTCATTTATGACTACCTTGTTTGTTTAATGGTCGCAAGTACGACTGCTGAGCAAGGAAGTCCCTGGCAGCTTGTAAAGGCGGACGCTGTAGTAAAATGAAGTAGTAGCTTACGATACTACTTGTATATATAACATAACATCACACCTTTTATCCTCAAAGGGGTAGGCAGAGGTGCACATTATACCACTGTACAATGTAACACCCACTTTTCACTTTTTATGTTATGAGTCCCATGTAATAGGGGGTGAGCCTATTGCCATATACCGGGCACAGTTCCAGACTCCGTGCTACTACTTAGATTTTTTTTAAAAAAAACCTGGTAATACTTTGCCCAACCCGGGAATCAAACCCGAGACCCCTTACCCGGCAGTCGCAATTGCGACCACTCGGCCAACGAGGCAGTACTTGTATATATCTAGACATATAATAACCACAGATGGGGCCCAATTGGGCCGATGCTGATTCGGAGTCGCGGAGAACCTAACGGGTAACCGGGGCTCCGGCTCGACGTGCAGGAGAAGGAACGGGGTGGTTTTTAGTCAGTAAGAGTCTGACACTCCCTTCCGCCTCACCCAGGCGGGAGCAGTCATTCGATGATTTTCCCCCCTTAAAAAAAAGACATATAATAACAAATCATCTATAATTCATTTCCGTTCGTTAGTCTCGCTAAAACTCAAGAACAGCTGAACTGATGCGGTATTGAAATATTCGTTGAAGGAAAAATAAATTAAGGCGTTACAAAGTTAGCTAGAACGGGTTAGCTACCTATTACTGTATAAAACTTCTGTACAAACACACAAATAAATATTTACTTAGATAGATAAGCGGACATTAAAAAACAATAAAAAACTAACCAAATACTTTTTCTTTATTATTATCACAATCTTCAAACGTAACCTACATTTGAACCTAGACAAAGCAAACGCGAATCATTCAAAACAAACGGGATAAGCACATGAGTAGGACAGTAGAGATACCAAGAATTTAAATAGTACCTATCAGCATTTTATTTAGTCCAAATATTGTGATGGTCTGACGGGGCGGCGTGCACGCGGAAAGTCACTGAGACAAAAAATTGTTGTCACTACTAATGACCTCTTGATAACTTTAGTTAATAGGTATTTTATTCCGGTTGCTACATGCTTTTTTTGTTGTTTTTGTTTATTCATTTGATAGAAATCAACGTGATTTAGATCTGGTATTGTGGTGTACTTAGGCTACAATCACCACTTACCTTCAGGTGGAACTTTTGAAGCTAGAACTTTGGTTTTATAGTAACTATCGTGAGACATTCTAGATTAACTAAATATCGCGGGTTACACACGTGAATATACTGAGAAAGCCTACTGGACTACAGTAGGCTGCGCGACATCGCTGCGACCACGCACGCAGCTCATGAGGAAGAACCCCTCTGTGGTTCAAAATTAGTAGATCTTTTCTTAGTTTATTCACGTGGGTAACCCGCGATTTTTAGCTCTTAAATTTACCTAAATATTTTTTTATGGCATAAGCCGGTACTCGGGCAGACGGATCACCTGATGGTAAGCAATCGGCGTCGCCCATGGACACCTGGAACACCAGAGGCGTTAAAAGTGCGTTACCGGCGTTTTGGGGATTAGGAGTTTGAGGATCGTTGGGGATTCAGGGATTGGGGAGATTGGGGAAAGGGAGGGTAATTGGGCCTCCGGTAACCTCACTCACACGACGAAACACAACGCAAGCGATGCTTCATGTCAGATTAAATTCATTTTTCTTTTTTATACCCTCTACTGGAACGTCTAGAAGTAGGTTCTTTACTTTACCAACTTTTTTTTTTTTACCATTCGAGTTTATATTAATAAAGTAAGTAAATATTCTCTGACCTCTGATAACCGATACTTTATTCATGAAACTTCAGACATTTTGTTTATCCGTGTTTGTGACTTATAAATAACTTTAGCGAAAATTATTTAAAAATATCCGGGAGGTACAAGGTTGAAAAACAATAGGGACGTGTCAATCAATTTAATTAACATGTTTTTTATGTTATCTTTGCATATGTTTGGGAGTAATGTGTTGTTTATTCTTTATTTATTCTAGATCGACGTTCTGACTTTAATCATACGTATGTATTTATGTAGATACTTACGTATCTAAGTCTGACGGGCATACATAACTGCATTTATACATATTAAGTAGAAAACATTATAATTCATGTATATATGAATTGAATCCCATCAGTATACAGTTGACAAAATTTTCAAAATAGTAAAAAGTCAACGATATTACTATTTATATTATCGTATTTTACTCAATCCGGCAAACGCCACACCGCTTGTCCAGCACTCCACGGCCACTCGGACTGTCTATATAACAAGTCACAATTTGTTTTTTCAGAATGTATCCTAGACGTAGACGAGGAAACACCTGAATTGAGTCCATCATCCCCAAGCAAGCCTGACTCGAGTATGGTAAGTTATCTATTTTACTGATGGAATGCACTTCTCAGAAAGAGAATCGATTTACTTGTAGATTAATTCTAAGCGGATGTTCGAATTAATACAAATATCTATGTAATACAATATTTAGGTAGACATGTATGATGGTTCGATTTTTTTTTATGAGAAGTGTAACTTAAATAATGGAGGAATATAATTAATATATTATTGTATATAATGTATCGTTTTAATGGATGATTTCACATACCTAATGCATGTACTATAATCTTTATAATTACTTGAAAATAATTATAGTAGTACAAAATAGACTCTATCTTTCAAGGGGTAAAGTTCACTTTACATTGATATTGTTACTCGAATACTAACAATGCATTTATTACTTATCCTTATTATGATGGTATGAAAAACGGTTATTATTTAAAACATCATTCTATCTCGTTTTAACACTTGATAGAATGTAGCTTTGTCTCTATCAAATCGAATATGTGCCAGTAGTAAAATCACTATAAATAGGTAAAGATATTAAAATGTATATAATTTAGAGGCTATGGTATATTTTATATGGGATAAAATTGCTTTTATATATTTGGTAGTAGCTTTTGCCCGCAACTTCGTTCGCGTGGAATAGTGACTTCCGGCAGATTTTTGGTTCGGATCGGGAACTATGTGGGTAACAACATAGTTCCCGATCTCTTCAAAAATAAAATGTGGAAGGATATTCTAGGGAACTCTTCAAAAATCAACATAATGAGCTCTGCGTTTGAATTAAAAATATGTATACTCATTTAGGGCATTAAAGCCGTTATTGCCGATCGAAAAAGGCGAAAATGTTGTTATTCCCTTATATTCAAAATATTATTTTGATTGGTCATTTCAGAAAAAAGACTGTCTCCCTTGACAAATTACCTATTAATTCCCTAATAACCAAGCTTAAAACTATATAATTTAAAAGGAACGATCTAATTAATTTAAAAATTAAAATGAATTTAGACATACAATTTTAGTATCTACTAATAATCGAGATCAAAATATCAATCAATCGAGATCATGTACTCAATAAATTTTATTTTTTATTTTATTTTTTGTAATACAAACTACCCTATGTCCTTTCTCAAGTTCCAAACTATGTCTGTACCAAATTTCACACAAATCGGTTCAGTAGTTTAGTCGTGAAGCAAAGACAGACAGACAGACAGAGTTACTTTCGCATTCATAATATTAGTTTGGATTGCATGTATGGTATTGGCATCAAATCTTGTTTGGCTGGGCATTTTGAAAATGTACTTCTAAAGTTATAATATAAAATATTAACAATTTGATAATTAATATACTTAAGTATTAAAACAAAGCCTTGTATTTGTGTACGTTATTGTAAAATATAGACAAACATTATTTATAATACTTTATATTGAAAATAAAGGAGTTATTGCGATTTCAAATAATGCCCTTAAAGGGGTTAATAATGGATATTCTTGTTATCTTTAGACTTTAGACCATTACTTTATGCAATGTTTTTAAAGTGGGAATATTTTTATTTTTCACTATTTGGCCAAAATGCTGGGTATTTACGTATTCAAAATCAAAAGCTGTATTTAACATATAGATTATTTTAAATTCTCAAATATCCTATTATTTTAATTTAGCATTTTTATTGTTTATCGGCAATAGTTTAAGTAACAGGTTTGCCCTGGATTCCTAATTAACCTATTTATTATAGTATATAGTATATGAATTATAACATTGATGCATGTCGACCAGAGGTTTGTTCTCTGTCATATTTTAATGTCATTGTCATTTTAATTTTTTTTTTGTTGCATGTAATCTAAGTATTTTCGGAGCTCCAAACGAAAGAGACGTAATGATAAATGATCCTTACGAATTTAAAGTATAACATTGGATGAAACCAGCATTCACAATCATTAATATTAAAATCAAGTTGTATGGTGGGGGCACCACAGCGCATGATACTTGAAGTTAGGTGGAATTTTAACCCAATGTGTCATAATGACACTAATTAGTTTTAACCGGTGTCATTGTGGTAATAATTGTACTTTATACATGCACCAAGTTATGTCTCACGATATTTAAGTACAACTTTAAGTTGTACTTAAATATCGTGCCATTTCTGTCATTCTACAAATAATATTTGTAGAGACAGAACTATACCTAAGCGCGACTTAAAATTGAGTAACGTTTGAGTATTTGAATTCATCATTTGTCTTCTTACTTTTGATGGTCTTCCCCAGTCTCTATCATCCGGCTTGAAGAGAAAACATTGGCATAGAAGATGGTAGAGCAAAGCCGACCGCCATTACGTCATATTTATGACGTCATTTACCCTCCATGGCGGGAATGTGCCATGCCAGTACGAATTTGAATAAGGAATTATTGTGATGAATGTTTTTTTTTTTATTTGATCTGACTTTTCTCTATGCTTTTTATATTTAATTTGTTTTGAGTTCTATATTTAAAAAGTTGAATTAAATATATTTTGGATGTATTCTATTTATGAAAGTCTGTACTTATTCCTTCTTAAGTCTTTGCACAACTTTTTGTTTCTTAAGTCTTTGCATTTTTGTCAATTCCGACAGTTTTTGTAATAATTACGATTAGCAGCAATGCTGTATAAATACTCAAATACATGTTATAAAACTTAGTATTTTGACTAGCCTATAAAAATATTAAACTGTCAAACACCAAGCGGTCACCGGTGACCGCAACCTATTGTTCTTTAATTGTGTCTATAAATACGGTACTCGACGAGTTAACATTGTACTACTTATATGTTGCAAGTCGGAAATATTTAGCCCCTGTTCAACTATTTTATATTAGTAATAATTTTATCACAAAAAGATTTGGTCCAAAATATTATACAAATACAGGGGTATTAAACTATCATGTAAGAATGAAAAAGGCTTTTTTAAATGTGTGTATAGAGAGAGATTTATTTTTCCATTTATTTGTAATCATTTGCATTTTGTTTTAAAATGTGAGTGTTTAAGTTAAGTAGATGTATGTAAATTTTTTGAAAAGACTGTAAATATATTGCCATAATTAAATATTTGATTTTATATGACAATTTTACTTTAACACCTACCTAGTCTTAATTGTACAACTATGTACCTACATAAAATACTCACCTATCTACGTTTTTTTATATTTTTAAATTAACGGATATACGATGACAAAATTCATATAAAAATCATATTAGCATTTTGGAAAAACAATTAGGTAGGAAAAACAAGTAGGTAATCGATTGTTTTTCAATATGTTTTCATCATTAAATAATATTATACGTATGAGCCGACAACTTTATAAAGTCGAAATTGTAAATTCAAAAGATTCCTAGCACCAATAGGCAATACTAGAATAGACAATACAGAGGCCTTAGTACGAGTTGGTTTTACGTTTAAAGTAATCGTAACGAGTACGCGTTCGGCGCACTGATTGGCCGGCGCCAATGAACCAACCAATCAGAACGCTGAACGCCGTCTCGTTTCGAATACTTTAAACGAAAAAGAAACTCGTACTAAGGCCTCTGTATTCATTGGTGATACAAGGCTTTGTTTTTTGTTTAAAACATTTTTCATTTTGACTTCTTACATAATGTATAGTCACAGGACGTATCTTATATTAAAATATTATGTTCGCAACTGTGCACAAGCTATTGAATAATTTATAGCGGGTTCGATTCCCACGTAGATACAGTGGCCTGTAGATCAGCCTACTTCAAGATGTCAAATTTGACATTCATTCATTGGATTTTCGACTTTATGTCAATACATTATAAAGTTGGAGATGTAATTAGAGCTAAGTATAGGTTGACTTACTGGCTACCGTATATCGAAATTGATGATGATCGATAAATGTATAGATACGTATATATAAAGGAAAATATATATATGTACGTATTATAGCAGAATATATTCCTATAAATAGGAAAGATAATCTACTGTAAAGTGAATATGAATAATAATAAAAAAATATTATATTATTTTCCAGCTAAGCGAGATTTTCCCGAGTCCTTTCATGAATGGCTACTACGTGGACAATGTTGAACGAGACTACAGAATAGTCGTGTGGGAATAATTTGAAATACATGCAAAACATTTACAGACAAATCCTTCGATCAGTATCAAATCCTTCGATTAGTTCTTTCTGATCTAAGGCCAAATTAATAATATTTTTCAAGTGTTTTACAATGGGTGAATGTGGTAGGATTCTATGGTAGTCGTGGCAGATTTTATTTTTCTATATTGTGATTATTTTATCTGTATTCAAATTAAAGTGTAGGAAGGTATTATTATGTAATAGGATGAGGTTATACGACATAATTCCACAGATTGTACTACAACGGACACACTGGTCATGTAAGCTTAAGTTCTGTTACCAGGCACATTTTTTAAATTATGGGGGCCACCGTATTATGTTCACTAGATGATGCTAATGTGACGTCAGATCTATTTGTCTAATCATTATAGGCACTATAGGTATCAAAATGGGGGCTAGCTAATTATCTAATGGACGAATCTGACGAACCGATTACGTGAGGTCAAAATTAGCGCAATCTGGTAAGAAAAAAAATATATAATAATAAATATTTACCAAATAGCTAAAGGCAAAGATGTGGAACCGCACTTGACCGTGTCCATTAGTGGTAGATGTACGCAATATTATTTTATTGTTATTTAAAATTTTAATACCTACATAGTATTTTTGATGGGTAAACTTGTGACACTGCGCATTTCAGCGTCAATTCTATTATAAACTTAAATATTTTATATTGAAGGATCTCTTATTCCAGAATACGTGTACAATGTCTGTAGGCACTAGGTAGGTACCTGCTCAACTCCATGAACTGTTCAACATAAGTTTCTTTCTACAATTATTTTGATATTTTAAATTTATTTTATGTACTTACTGTGCACTGTGCATACGAGTACCTAATACAAGTATTTACCATGTGCTGCGCTCAACAATAATTTAAAGTAAGTGATATCACTACGTCTTCTTCTGTTATTAAATTAATCATAGCATATTATGGAGAATTTAATGAATTAAATAATACATAATCTAAATATGAGTACAAATATTTATGAAATGCCCCAATATAAATATAAGTAAGTACATACCATATTTTAAGAATATTTTCCAGTTTTAAATTATACTATTATTAAATGAAATAGAAAATATATTTGAAATAAGTAAATTTCTGTAATCAATATACACAAATGTTAAAATGTGTTTTACCATCTATTTAGTATAAGGGATAGTTAATTTTATCTTGTATTTTGTGAATAAAATATTAGAAATAAAATTTAATGTTGTTTTATTTAAACATAAACAAAAATCAGTTGGTAAGTAGTTGAAGTAGTTTTACAAATACAGGTGCAATCATACTAGTAAATAACATAATTTATGTAACTACATAATTATATATTTACAACTTAAAATTAACTACAACTAAACTATTAAATAAAAAGAAAGTTAAAAAAAAAGAAAACAACAAAAATTATACCCTTAATTTAGGCGTCAAAGTATTCGTCCGCATCACTATCACAGGGGAAAGTTCCCAGAAGACTGGCAGCATTGCCACGTTGAATGGCAATGCTTATTTTCTGTCCGAAGAAAAAGCCAGCCCTCTGGTCACGTGTAGAGTCGATTAGCCTACGGGCGATATCTTTAAACACAGAGTGTGCACTGGGACCCCATGGCCCAAGTGTTTCGACCCCAAATGGCTCAAAACAGTAGTTACCCACTAGATTTGAATATTTACGCCGTTTGAGGGCCTCTGCCGCGGAAGCAGCTGCACCAACGCATGCAGCGGTGCTTAAAAGATGTGATGGCGCAAGGGTGTCTACACACGTCGCGTCCCACACCAAAGGCCTACCCATTTTCCAAGGCAGCAACGACATACAATCTGCAGTGCTAGCCAAATGCCATTTAGCGCTTGTCTACATGTAGAATAGAAAACCAAATTATATGGAATTGACGTAAATTTTGACACTGGTCAGTGTCATCCCCATACATTTTGATATCTACTCTCACTGTAGACAAGCGCTAAAGTGGCGTTTGGCTAGAGGCCCTGGAATGATTTTAAATCTATAAAATGATTTTCGAACTGACTGGTAAACGTCAACAATGAACGTTGACAGCTACTTTGACACTAACAGCCTGATAGTGATAGTTGACACTCTTGACAGTTCCAACTCGAGCGAGGTTCAAACCGGTACTTACTGTGCTGCTAAATTGTGAATTTATTTAAAAAATAATATTACGTGAATACATCTCCTTTTGTGCTAGTTTATAACAATTACCGGTCTTTTTACAGATTCGCCGTAAAGTTGTTAGTGCAAATTCTAATAAAATTCTTATTAGAATCTCAAGACTTCGTTAATTTCTTTTTGTGATACGAAGATACGCTACGTCGACAGTAAAATGGTGTACCAAGTGAGTATTCGATTGATATAATTCGTTATTTCCTGGTAATGGTGGGCGTAGGGCGGGTCCCGGTGACATCAGAATACGAAATAGGGCACGAACAGGGTAGGACGAGCGACCTTGACCCATACCACTAGTAAACAACCTCCCGAATTAAAATATCAAGCCTTATTAGGGATAGTTTGTCGTTTTGGGCTAATAGATTCTTATATTTTATCTGTTGTTTCATTAATAATGGCATAGATAAATGAATTTTTAACTTAAGAACTACATACATTCAGCCTAAGTACAGCCTATTTGCTTAAAAAATATCATAATTATGTCATAAACCAGTTTACGACCCTGACTTTAAAACTTGAGTTTGAAGAAACTAGTTTAAAGCCTTGAACTGTGTACTAACAGTTAACAAAACACTCATTTTCTAGATTAATTTAAATTTTTACTCATTGTATTTAGCTAAAATTTAAATTATTGTATTTTTAATTTAATAACAGAACCAATAACAAGTGTGTTCTACATTGTGTCTGCATATTCCATACATTTGCATACTTCTTCAGGAATTAATAATGTTTTTTAATTTTTTAAACTCCATGCACAATGCACAAAAGACAAATATAATAGCAAATAGTTTCTCAACATCCTCTAATAAAATCAATTAAAAATCTTTAACTTGTTACTGCAACTAAATGAAACTTATATTATCAAGGTGTTGGTATTCCATTCATGCAGTGGAATGCATTGGCTCTGGCCTTATAGTAAGCCAGTCTATAGTAGTTGAATATTAATGACCCTAGCATATGAATCATTTTATGACTGGTCTGGCCACATACTGGTTTAAGTAGTCTTACTCATTCAGAAATTACCATTCATTAATGTAATTGTTAGTTACAACATACCATGATCAATGGTCAGGGTTTAATCAGTAGTTTAATAAACTCAGAAAAGTATAAGTTCTTATGTCCTGCATAAATACTAAACCCAAATTATAACTACCTATTACATATATAAAAAGACTTAAATGTGACAGTTTTTTTAATTAAAATTGCCCTTAGTTACACTACTGCTAGGCATGTTGTTTATGGTAGACGGTTTTTTTCGTTTATCATCGGCCTCACAGAAAACCGGCGTAAAACAACGCATTGTGTTTCGTCGTGTGAATGATCTCCAAGTCCTTACCTCCTAAAGGCTGGCAAGGAACCGCCCACCGTGCGATTTACCACCCTTACCTATAAAAAACACATCTCCTTAATTTTATTTTGTTTAGCGTGAACCGACTGTAGTGGGAGTGCCCAACTTCAATGCGACCGAGGATGCGGCCGCCCTAAGAGCCGCCATGAAAGGTTTCGGCACAGACGAGCAGGCGATCATTGACATCTTGACCACACGCTCCAATGCCCAGCGACAAGCCATCTCTAAGGCATTTACCCACGAATATGGCAGGGTAAGTCACCAACAACACTATTTTAATATTTGTAACGTCTACAAATGTGTACATATTTTCATTTGTTCGTTATTTGGAAGTGCCAGTATGAGTATGACAACCAAATATGGCCAAAAATATGTGTTTGTATTGCTAGATAAGATATTATGTAGCTTTTTAGATCAAATAACAGGTCTGTTTCGTTCACCACTGACAAATCATGCTCTCAATCTTAATACAATAGTGTGTAGACTGTATTTAGAGGGCTAAGTACGAGTTTTTTACGTCTAACGAGATTGAAACGAGAGCGCGTTCGACGCTCTGATTGGTCCATTGGAGCCCGCAAAAGCTCGTACTCAGCCCTCAGAACTCGTAAAGAAAGTACCAGTACAGTAAAGTAAAGCCAGTATAGTACAGAAGCTATAGATAGGTTATGACTGCATGGTTGGCGCGGTGGTTGGGCAACTGACTGCCGCGCAACGTGTCGCGGGTTCGACTCCCGCACGGAACAACGCTTTGTGTGATCCACAGATTGTTGTTCCGGGTCTTGGGTGTCATGTGTATGTGAACTTGTATGTTTGTAAACGCACCCACGACACAGGAGAAAATACTAGTGTGGAGCAAGGTTTTTTTTAAAAAAAATATTGCTAGATTATTAGCACACTAACTTTAAAATCAATATTTGTGAACATGAACGGTTCGTACTCCGCATACACGACATCGTTGAAAATAATATTCCCTCGACTATCTACGTATACCTAGATCTAGTCATCTATTCAATTATAACTTCGAAGAAATTGCTGCGGCAATGTGTTACTCATTACACTCAATCGCTGCTAAATATATCAGTACACTCACTATGCTAATAGATAGTGAAGCGTACCGCTCTACGCAGTTTTGCAAAGATAATAATTGATAGAAAACTACACGAGAGCAAAGAAACTTAGCCACGAGCTGTTTTTAGTTTTTCATTTCTTGATAAATATTTTATGATATCAGTATTTTATTAATTGGTAACGTATGTCGTATCAAAGGCAATTTAGTTATGTACTTACCTTTGATTTTCTTTTATGATAAAGGTTTCGATAGAATTAAAAAAAAACGTCCAAGGTGTTTTTTGCTCCCAAGTAGTTCATCTCTGCGATCTACACACGCCTGACCTGATTGATAAGTCTCGATGAAATCTATCTATCAAAATCGATACCCTTTCAAAGCAAAAGCAACTGTAGACTAAAGAAATAACGTACTTATCTCCAGTTAGACTTTGATCATATCTGTGAATAACTGATTAATTATTATGAAATGACAAGATAAAGCCGTGTCGTGAGAACCGACGAGATGTAATGAGTCATAGCTTTAAAATACGAGAGTCGAAGACCTTTCTTGACTATCAACTACTTGTTTTTACCCGTATTTCTACAGAACTGTTCAGACCTATATTAAATGGGATATAGGTGATGATGATGGTCCCTGATTGAGCTGCGGACGACCTTACAAGTTACCGGAACTCCAGCTCCAAGTAGGAGTAGCAAGGGGGTGGTTTTTATTCAGTAAAAGTCCAACACTCGCCCACCTCATCGAAAGTGAGAAAAATCCGAGGGTGAAAACCCCAATTTCCACCGTTTACGTTTAATGTTATGAATCTCCAAATAATGCGATCATATTCAGGTGTCGTGTTTATCACTTAGAATTTACCATTATTGAAAAAATATTAGCATGTAGTTATCTATTCCGACTCTAAAATGACCTATTACATCATTATATTGCCATACCTTGATATTGATAGTTTCGTGCGCTCGATATAATATCAAGGGCAAGCGCCATGGACGACATGAACTCATGTTACGGAAACACGTAAACTAATCACAAGTTTTCGCGTTTTTGTGTGTCTAATTAAGTACCATGGTTCCTACTCCATTATACTTGTATGTATGCCATGAGATCTTCTCAAGGTCTCCAAGAAAATAATGAGGTAATTGTTCTCAGCGTACTATTTGTATAGTGGTTATTTAAGTGATTAATGATAAGCATAGAAAAACATACTTTTTTAGAATTGAATCTGTCAAATAATAAATGTTTCATACGTCGAATGATCTCAAATGCAACTGATGATTTCGATTCTTAAAGCGAGAGTACGATTGTTTAGATATTAAATTCTATTTCGATATTCATAAAACTTCATACGAGTTTAGTGAAACTAACAGATTTACACAACTTGATATGACACTGACTTCGAATATTTGTCAACCTAGGACATCATTGAAGACCTAAAGTCTGAGTTAGGCGGCCATTTTGAAGATGTGATTGTTGCCCTGATGATGCCCCCTGAGGAGTACCTGTGCAAGGAGCTGCACAAGTGCATGGAGGGCATGGGCACGGATGAAGACACCCTCGTCGAGATCCTCTGCACCAGGACCAAGCCCGAGATTGCTGCAATCGTGCAGGCTTATGAAAGGAGTATGTATATTTTTTTATCATCACTATCACAGATATATAATAAATGTTGGTTTGACGTGAATATTGAGGAAGGCAAAACACAAAATCCGTTATTTTCATCACTCCATCGCTATTAAGGGCAGGGGGCATCTCTCTGTAATATATATTTGAAAACCAAGTGATATTTTTATGGAAATTATTATTTAATACACCCACTCATTTTCTTAACTTTGAATTGACAATGTTTTTGATGGTTTCAACAGTGTACGACCGTCCCCTGGCCGAGCACATGTGCTCAGAGACCTCCGGTGACTTCCGACGTCTACTGACCCTCATTGTCACTGTAAGTCTTATGTTATAGTTTACATTTCTTAACATCATGGATGTATCACTTTAGTACATGATATAGGGAATCACTGAACATAATAAAGGTAATGCACTTGAAACTTCTCTGGTGTTGCGGGTGTCCATGGCCGGCGCTGATAAATGGCGCTGGCGCATTATAAATAAAGTATCCACAAATTGTTGTTTCGAATCTGTGTGTAAAAACATTATCATGCACACACATCACACACATAATGTGTAAAAAATTGTGCTGTCTGGGTGTGGTACCTACGACACAAGCTAAAATTGCCGTGAAGGGTTCAGGCATTTACAGTAAGTATTGTTTGTCTGAGAATGTTATTAATAATTAAAACAATATTTCTAATTTATGAAACTCTACTCTATTCTTATTTTTTTTGTAATGAATTTGTTGTAGCTTTAGCGGTATTTTCTTTTGCACATTAATGCTTTTAATAGGTGAAGGATCACACAGGTAATGCGCTTAGACTATTGTTATATTTTATGCGTTCACTCTGCAATTCCATTTAAAACAAATTAAAGTTAACCTACAGGTCAACGTATGTGGATAATTTACTTAAATATATTTACTTGTTAATTAAAAGAAATTTAATTCGGAGACGAATATAAAACTACAATGTCTGATTGCCTTAAGTTCTACTGTACTTTATGCAATTCTATGATTTAATTTCTTTTGTTAGTAGTAGTAGTAGTAGGAAAATCGGGCAGTTGACTTCCACTCATAGATTGATCTGTATTATACATAGTTTATCACCTAAAATAAGTATGTATAGTCAATTTTTACTAAAATTAAACACCTCTTCACATTTTTACTGACTTAAAAAAAAGGAAGAGGCTCATATCATAATGATATAACTTAATGGCCACAAAATTGTAAATTAGGTATCTATTAAGGTTTTAAAGAATAATTTTGTATAGAACTTATGGCGCCGACTTCTAACCTATCAGTGGGTGGGTATCAGTGGGTGGGTATTATTAGTACTGATAGGCAGTACTAATAATAGTTATTTTTTGCTTGTTAGTTTTGACTTTTTGTGTTTGTTATTATTTTGGTTTTTTGAAGTCTGTTTTTTATTCTCTTTCTATTGTCCATAGACTACTATACATACAGTGGGCAGGTCAACCTATCCTTTTCTGTCAAAATTCTTTATTACCTCTACATTTTCAACTCTATCGTTTAGGTATAAAGTCGAAAATCCAATGGCAAATATTGACACATTGGTGTAGATTGATATGCTGGCCACTGTACAAGCCCTCGCTACAAGCACCATTAATTTTCCTTTCTACCTTCGCTTTCGCTACAGTTACAGTAACCTTGGAGTGGCGTGATCAGTTTGTACCGCATTTTGTTTGATTCATGTTTACTTGATTGGTTATTTACACAAATTGATTGTTTTTGTATAATAATGTAAAGTTAATGTGTTCTTGCATGTGGTTTTCAAGGTGAAAATCGTAGCTGTATTTTAGATTTAACTTTTTGAAATTCACATATTTTAAAATAATATTGTAGATAGTTGCAACTGTTTTTCCTATAATTATAATTTGTATACCACAATTTTAATGTTTTAATACTTTAAGGGCTTTCCTTCAACAGAATTTAGTTTAAGACTGGTTGCAATGTCTAGTCATGATATAGCACATAGTAATGTCCAGGTATGTCATATACCAAGTAATATTATTATGAAAGGAAATTCTATAAGGGTTTGCGGTAAGCGAACCTTTCTGTGGTCTGTTGTTAAATTCATATTGACTGCAATAATACGTGTTCTAATTTAAACCTATTATTGTGATAGTTTGCTATTATTTGTTAAATAATTATTATTTGATTTGTGTCATTGCATTGTGTCTGTAGGAAAAGCTCAGATTTAATTGTAATTATGTAATCTAATTTTATTACAATTTTACCTGCAATAAAATAAATGTTACTCGCAACAATAGAGACATGAATAAGTAGCTTTATAAGTCTATATTAACATAACAAAGTCGTATTGTTTAGAATTTGAAAACAACAAATTACACTTTCATTTAATCGTATATTCTTGCTTATTGATATGATAGGAAATAAAATAATTAAAGGGTTTATATAAAAATTAAATACATTCTCATTTATCATACCCCGATACCATCACTAGTTTATAACTCCTACTAGGGTAATTAAAATTTGAATATTTATTAGAAGTAGCATTGGTGTGAAGCCGGGACATGTCGTTAGTGTACAAAATGCAACATACTGATCACTTCACCCAAGGTTTATAAAGAACACTGTCTAGGTGTTGTGATAGTCGTCCTCTCGACAGGGGGCGCGGGACGAGGAGGTCGGAGTCGACCCTGTCAAGGCGAGGGAGGATGCCCAGGCGCTTTACGATGCTGGGGAGGCCAAGTGGGGAACTGATGAGGAGGTCTTCAATAGGGTAAGTAGAGGAATTGCCCCCGATCAGTAGTAGTTTAACAAGAATTAGAAGATATTCTAATTAAGAACTGTTTCAAAAAGTTTGTATTACTCTCGCCTAGCCGATTTGAGAATAACTAAATCGCAAAGAATCATATTTGATTTATAAGAATAAAAATTTTAAGTATACTTCTCTTTGCAACCGTTTGCAATTTTAGGGTACACTACAGTCCCAAAAACCTTGTTATTCTTTCCCAGTTACATTACCTGGCGTATAAAACTTTATGTAGCACTAAAATATATATATTAAACTTCCTAATATTACCGCGAACTCAAACCTTTATTCACACAGATCCTGGCCCACGAGAGCTTTGCCCAACTGAGTCAGATCTTCGAGGAGTACAAGAACATCTCCGGCCGTACCATCGAGCAAGCCATCAAGGCAGAGATTGGAGGAGAGTTGAAAGACGCGCTCTCTGCTATTGGTCAGTTACACTTATTTTTCAAATATTTCTGATTGTTAGATGGCGCTAGTAGGCATTTTAGGCTTGTACGAGCAGTGTGAGATATTTTTGTAATCGAAAAAAGTTGTTTAACGGATTATGTTGCTTTGTTCCATTTACCTACTACACACTATTCAAATTCTTTACTCTCTAAGTCACATGAGACAAACGACATACAATTATAAAAATATCCATTTTAAATTGCAAAACAAAAAGTAATGGTACATCAACCTTATGAATATGTAATCTTATTGCGTCTGAATAAGGTGGGTTTTTGTGCATACTGTACGCAGTGTAGTAATTCATGGTAATTGTCACAATTACGTGAGTTTGTGTGTCACTTACTTGCGGCGGCAGGACGGAAGCTGTTCGTTTGTTATTATTGTCATCGAATTCTAAAGTTAAGATTAATATGTAGGGCTACCAAGATATATTTTTTACTATTAGGGTATAACATACTTATATTATAATGATGATATTGATTTCTTCATAATTTGCCGCTGGTTTTAGTGGTTCATAACCGTCAATTCTGAGTACGTCTGTTCAAGTCGGATCGGAATCAGAAGGGAGTCAGTAAATGTACATTTTTGCTTCAGAGAAGAACTGGAAAGGTGCGAAGTTATGTTATTGTCCTATCTTAATTGTCCTTAATTATCATGTTATGTCTACATCACAAAACGACTTGAAATGTTTTCCACTGCAGATGTTTAGATAAATATAACATGTGATGGTGGCGACCATGTTTTGTCTCGGTAACCCATTTCTTGGCCGCACAAATATTTGCAGTGGAGTGTGTGGAAAGCGCGGCGGCTTGGTTCGCGACACGACTGCGGAAGGCGATGCAGGGACTCGGCACCGACGACCGGACACTCATCCGGATCATAGTCAGCCGCTCAGAGATCGACCTCGGGGCCATCAAGGCGGAGTACGAGAGACTGTACGATAAGACCCTGGAGAGCGAGATCAGGGTACGTATAACGTGGCGTGTGTCTTGCAGTGGAGTGCGTGGAGAATGCGCCCGCCTGGTTCGCGGCCCGACTCCGCAACGCCATGCAGGGCGCCGGGACTTCGGACGAGGTCCTCGTCAGGGTCATCACCAGCCGCGCCGAGATAGACCTCGGCTCCATCAAGGCAGAGTACGAACGATTGTATGATAAGACCCTCCAGAGCGACCTCTCGGTATGTCCTGCTGTGTATCATACGGCCGGTGACGGACTTGTCTGCTTTTAAACTGACTTTGCAGCTGTTTTTGTCGCAGTAAATAAAAATAAGATAGTGGCCATAAATAAGCAGTCTCTTAGTTTTATTCTACAATCACTTCAGACTTGAACGGTTGCAATGTTCGTCGTTAAGTCTTTTATTTGCATAACTGGTTTTGGAAACAAAAAAGATTGTCTTATATTTCTTAGAAATCAAATTCTTTCCACACGTGCAGACAAAGAATGTAAATACCTATATTATTGTGTTTTTATGTCGTTGCCATGTGCGATAATATCAGGAATTTTCTGTGCGCTTAATGATAAATGTTAAAGTTTTATTTGCATTCGTACTTATTGTGTTTTTAACTATAGTTTTGGTTTATCAAACACATTTAAAAAAATAATGAACAAAACATGAGACATGTACGCAGAAACTAATAAATACAAAAATAGATAATTATAAGAGGAAACTGAAAATAAAACCCTTTGGCATACACGTTAAGAATCTTTTTTACTTCCAAATCCAAATGAGCATTCCCCAAGTCAATCACTGCCCTAAAATTATAAGCCGTAAGCTTGAAATTAGCACCGCACTCGCTAAACACTACCTTTTTATTATTTGCATTGAGAATATACACAATTAAACCTAAAACAATATCTCTTGGACAATATAAACATAATATTTGTATTATTATATTATGCACGATACACTATATACAGAATAATAGTTATGGTCTGGTCCCATCTCTATAATTACTATAACCACATAAAACTTTTATATTTATTTGCAATATGAGTACTATGTTTTTATAATAACTATTGTGAGCCATACTAAATTAACTAAACTCGCGGGTTACTCACGTGAAAATACTGAGAAAAGCTCTACTAGTTAGCGGTCGCCGCGACCACGCACGCTGCTTATGAGGAAGAACCCCTCTGAGGTTCGAAACTAGTAGAGGTTTTCTCAGTATATTCACGTGAGTAACCAGCGATTTTAGTTAATATGTATGTACTATGTAGATGTCTCTATATATTTATACTATTTATTTTATAATAGAAACATCATGCAAAAAAAGGTGTTTAACTTTTTAAATATTTATTTAAGAAAAGGTAAAGGTTTGTGCACCTCCATCTATTCCTTAAGAGAATAATATTTTTAAATGATTCTGAAGAGGTGATAGCACATTTCAAAATCACTTTATTTTTTTAAACACATTCTAGGCATGAAAGTAATGCTTTACTGTTAACTCAGCATGGATTCTTCGTATAATTCTTTGTGTCTTGTATAAATTATTGATATGCGCTTTCAATGTTTAATTTTATGATTGAAATATCATTACTTTTATGTTGTATGTAATGTGGTTTAATATATTTCACATTTTCTGTAACTCTCTGCCACCCTGAATGGAAAGGAGGTGAGAACTATTTGTTATGAGAATATATTTATTAGAGAACGATAGATGCTTTATGGCTGTTGTAGCTAAAAGCAAACCATAATTATCGTATACATTAAGTACCTATACTCTCTTATTATTCTTTGGAAACCAAGTAAATAACCCACAATTTCAAAGGCCCCTAACTACGTACATCAATTTTGGTTACGGGTCTCCAAAACCCACGCAAAATACTAATCTTGTCGCGTTTTCTCTTTCCGCACGCCGCATGCACATTGATGACACCAACCCTTCAATACAACGCCATCTATTGCCGATCGACTGAACTACTTGGTAACGCCATGTTGGTTTTGCGACACGTCAGCAGGGTGAAACTTCTGGAGACTACAAGCGCGCCTTGGTGGCGCTGCTGGGACCTGTTTAAGTTCGAAGATGAGGACTTCTCCTGCAGGAAACAAGTAAATGGAGATCTAAAAAGTTTCCAAACCGGTTGAAAATTGGGATGTAACTTTGTTTGATCTAAATCGTAATAGAATCCTGTCAAATATAGGATAGATTGAGAAATCCTGTATAGTCTGTCAATACTCGAATATTTGTAATCTCTTCGTTTTGCTCTATAGACCTCCATTTATTTGAGAAACCTGAAAAATTAAGCTTCTGTGTCTTGTGCTGCATAATTGTAGAATAAGTTACTTTATGTCAAGTTGTGGACATTTGTCTTTTACGATAGTTTGCATATTAGCACCATGTTACATATTTTAAGAATATTTATGTATTCGGTCTAATTGGACGTAAAACTCTGTAGTACATAATATGTTTAGTTTTAAAATATTAGTTTAAGCTCTAACTTGCTGGTTTAGGCATACCTAGCGTTTCGAATAAACTGATTTTTATTGTATTGATTTAAAAAGTATCGAACATGTTACGCTAGTGCGATTTAGGTACACCGCTGACGAAGCACACCCTCAATAATTTATAGATTTATAATCAGTTAAGTGCACAAATTCGAGACACGAGGCAAAATCACCAAATTAGCAAAACGCCAGGAAGGCCAGCGCATCGGTGCAGTTTAAGTACACCGCTGACAAAGCTAGCCTCAATAAATTGTAATACATAAGTTATTGCGCAAATTCGAGGTACGAAGCAAAGGCGCCGAATCAGCAACACGCCATGAAGGCCAGCGCATCGCGCCCGAAAGGCGACACTTCTGATACAGCATCGATCGAAGCAATAGGTTTAGCTAGCTATTAAGACTTTATGTAATAAGTTTTACTTCGAATAAACCCTTTTTTTATCTTAATTTGGGTTTAATTGAATCCTCCGGCGGCAGCCTTCGTAATTGGCGCAGTCGGTAGGATACTCGAGGTTAGCTAGGGTATTCTTATATCGATATTCTATCGCTATCGTGCGTGAGCGATCGCGGCTAATCAAGCTATCAAGCCTCATCGAGTATCCTGAACCTAAGGATTGCTGCCGGGAGAGAACGGGATCCAGATATCGACCCCAGAGACCGATATGAAGGTTATGTGAGTACATTTGAATTACTTCCTTTGTTGCTTCCTGTGTACTCCTGTGCCTACATCCTTCAAAATTTTCCATCCTAGGAATTTAGGACCGCGTGTGTCTACATCGCGTAGACCGAATCGTAGGCAATTAGAGTTAGACTTAAATAGGCATATTGAGTTAGGTTTAGATATTTTATTCGAGGAACCCAATATGGTGCACGATCCCGATACAATCCATAAGGCTCTGCGCCTAGTTCCTGAGTTTGATGGGAACCCCAACGTTCTCACTAGATTTATTAAACTATGCGACCAAATAGCTGCTACTTATCTTAGTAACGTTCCTGGTAGTGAATTAGGAAATTTATGCGTAATAAACGGGATATTAAATAAAATCAAGGGGCCCGCAGCTTGTCGAATTAACTCAAATGGCATTCCGGAAAGCTGGGCAGGAATAAGAAACACCTTAATTAATAGTTTTGCTGACCAAAGGGACGAGACAGCCCTATACAACGACCTCTTAGTATCGAATCAAGGTAATAGTACACCGCAGGAATATTACGATCATTGTCAGTCATTGTTTAGCACCATTATGACTTATATTTCATTGCATGAAACTTTACCCACTACTATAGAGGCGAAGCGCACGTTATACGGGAAATTAACAATGCAAGCGTTTGTACGTGGGCTTAAAGAACCGCTTGGTTCGCGCATACGGTGTATGCGCCCGGATAGTATTGAAAAGGCTTTGGAATTTGTCCAGGAGGAGATTAACGTAATGTATCTACAAGGTCGTACCGATAACTCACACTTCAAAAAGCCACTTCCAAACGCTCATGCGCCTAAATTACCGCATAATCCTGCAGGTTTCACACATATGCCGAGACCATTCCATTTCAATCCAGTGCATACGCCAAACTGGCAGCGCCCGTTACTATCGCAAAATAGTTGGAGGCCTAATTTCCAACCACCTGGCCCTCAGCGTGCACCTAATGCACCGAATATGGCCACGCGTACTCAACAGATGTTCCGCGCAACACCGCCTAATTATAATGCTAATAGTAACCTATTCAAAATTCAACCGCGCCATCAAACGTCAGGCCCTCAGCCGATGAGTGGAGTTACCCCTTTCGTCTCCAAACCAATGAACCAACCATATAAGGGTCATGATTGGAATAAATCCGGGAACCCGCCACCATCCAACTACTTTAAGACCCGCGAAATGAATTTTAATAGTTGTAATGAGTATGATTATGATAATTACTACCCAGATAACGAGTATTACACGTACAATATCGACTACGACCAATCCGACTATACTAACTATTCTGACTATAACTTCCCCGACGGATGTGAATATGAACAATTTGGTTCGTACTGCAAAGTGAGCGAGTTACCTGACAATAGCGACAATCCTCAACCCTCTACTAGTAACGCACACCAGGATTTTCATTCGGACCAACCCTCAAAACCCTCAAAATAGAAGTAAACTTACAAACTCAGCGTCAACTACCTTATATAAAATTATCAAACCCTCCACTAAATTTTTTGATCGACACCGGAGCCAATCAGTCGTTTATCAGTCCCTCAGCAGTAGAAAAGTATTACTCAAATGTCCCTGTTAATTATGAACCCTTCGAGGTTACCAACGCCCACACTACAAGTAGAAGTGACTATTCAATCAATATACCAGCTTTTCAAGAATTTAACGACCGTAATGACATTAAATTGTTCATTTTCGACTTTCACAAATTCTTCGATGGACTTATTGGGTTAGACTTACTGAGTAAATGGAATACGAAGATTGACTTAAAGGACAATTTATTAATAACAGATAACGCGACGAATCCCATAACTATGTTTAACTCTCGGAACGTCAATTTATTTGAGGACATTATACCAGCTAAGACTACAAAACTAATTCGGTTACCTATAAATGCCACTGATGGAGATGTACATGTCCCTTACCAAAAACTTGATCGTTGTAACATAAATGAATGCATAACTAAAGTTTCCAATAGTCGTGGATTAGTAGAAGTAGAAAATACATCGCATAACGACATCATTTTATCATTAGATCGTCATGTCGAGGCAGACAATTTTAATATTGAATGTATGAATATCGAACAAACAATCGATAACTCTCGTATTAACCAAGTTTTATCTCAGTTGCGGACAGATCATCTTAACGAAGAGGAAAAAATTAATTTAAAAAATCTCTGCTCGCGTTATGCGGATGTCTTTTACATTGAAGGTGAACCTCTGTCGTTCACTAATAAAGTTAAACACCATATAAGAACCGTAGATGAGGTACCTATCTATACAAAAAGTTATAGATACCCCTTTGTACATCGACAAGAAGTCAGCGATCAAATAACAAAAATGCTGGAACAAAATATAATAAGACCATCCGATTCTGCCTGGAGTTCTCCCATTTGGGTAGTTCCAAAGAAGGTTGACGCTTCAGGGAAACAGAAATGGAGGCTAGTAATAGATTTCCGAAAGTTAAACGAAAAGACAATCGACGACAAATATCCAATTCCGAATATAACTGATGTCCTAGACAAGTTAGGTAAATGCCAGTATTTCACCACATTAGATTTGGCCAGTGGGTTTTATCAAGTGGAAATGAATCCCGACGATATCCATAAAACTGCATTCAACGTTGAACATGGTCATTTCGAATTTTTACGTATGCCCATGGGACTTAAAAATTCTCCATCGACTTTTCAGCGCGTAATGGATAACGTATTGAAAGGTCTTCAAAACGTTATTTGTCTAGTATACATGGACGATATTATCGTATTTAGTACGTCTCTCCAAGAACACTTGGATAACCTGGAAAAAGTATTTCAAAGACTCCGGGAATCTAACTTTAAAATTCAATTGGATAAATCTGAATTTTTAAAGTTAGAGACTGCATTTCTAGGTCATATAATAAGCAGTGAAGGTATTAAACCAAATCCAGACAAAATTGAAGCTATAAAAAAATATCCAATACCCAAAACTACAAAACAGATAAAGCAGTTTCTTGGACTCATCGGTTATTATCGGAAATTCATACCCGACTTTGCCAGGATAACCAAACCCTTTACACAATGCTTGAAAAAAGGCAGGACTATTACACTTAATAAGAACTACATTGACTGTTACGAACAATGTAAGAGACTCTTGACTAACGACCCGATCTTAGTATACCCTGACTTTACCAAGGAGTTCATTTTGACCACCGACGCATCTAACGTTGCATTGGGAGCCATATTATCCCAAGGAACAATAGGATCAGACCGACCAATATCATATGCATCACGAACTTTAAACGAGAGTGAATTAAACTATAGCACCATAGAAAAAGAGCTGTTAGCCATTGTCTGGGCTACTAAATATTTCCGGCCCTATCTTTTTGGCCGCAAGTTTAAAATAGTCACTGATCATAAACCATTACAATGGATTATGAATCTCAAAGAACCCAACTCTCGTCTGACAAGATGGAGACTGAAACTAAGTGAATATGACTTCAGCGTAGTTTACAAGAAAGGCAAAAATAACACTAATGCGGACGCCCTGTCGCGAGTGGAAATCCACAATGACGAAGTCAGTTCAGTCATAGTAAATCCCTCTGAAAAGCCTCCTTCAATAGCAGATTCCACTACTGCTACCGCTCATACAAGTAATGAAAATCCCATACTCGAAGTCCCCATAACCGACAAACCCTTGAATGCGTATCACAGACAGATAATTATGACTATAGTAGGTGACATAAAGAAAAAACCGACAGTAACAAAGCCATTTGACACTCATACACGCACCTCCATCCAGGTTTCACAATGTAATTTAAGGGACGACGTCATTAACGCTATAAAAGAGTACGTCGCTCCGAAAGTTAAGACTGGTATTCTTATTAATCCACCCCTAGGCATGTATGACATCATCCCCATAATTCAAGATTGTTTCAAAAGTTCAGCAATGAACCTTGATTTAACTAAATTTGAATTAGAGAATGTCAAGGAATATCTCAAACAACAAGATATAATTAGGCACTACCACGAAGGTAAAACGAATCACCGTGGCATAAACGAAAGTTATTTAGCTCTTTCACGCAAGTATTTCTGGCCTAAAATGAAGGACCATATAACTAAGTATATTAATGAATGCACAGTATGTGGACAAGCTAAGTATGACCGAAACCCTATCAAACAGAAATTTAATATTGTTCCACCGGCTACAAAGCCGTTCGAAATTATACATATGGATTTATTTACAGTAGAAAACGAAAAATACCTAACTTTCATTGATGTCTTTTCTAGGTACGGACAAGCATATCTTATGCGCGACGGTACGGCACTTAGTATCTTACACGGCTTATTACAATACTGTACTCATCACGGCTTTCCGCAAACTATAATTACTGATAATGG